TCGAGTTATTTGATTTTCCCCACAATAGCAGTGTAGTAAAAATGTTGACATTATTGGCAACTTTGGTGAGGATCAAATATTGTCTTTGGTTATACTGCAGAAAATCAAGACTAACATCAGAATCCGGCTTTCCCTCCTCTGCTTAAATGTTACATGCTCTTGCATTCCTTTAGCATTAGCTCTACAGAAAGGGTGTGCCGATGGACCAAAAGAAGTGAGGGACTTTTAAACTAATTGATGTTTCCTGGGAGGCCTCACAATTCACTCTCTGTTAGACTGTGAAATCAAAGACCCAATGCTGAATTTTACTCTGCTTGGCTGAAGCAGGCGGTTTCATTACTTTGCTCTCTCATGGCAGGAGTGCTGATTCTTCTTGACACACCAGGAGGTGGCATATAATTCCAAACTTCTTCAAAGGTTTTGTAAATCTTCACTCGTTGATATATCGGCTTTCCTCAACCTTCTATGCAACTTTTCATGAGTGACATACCTGAGTATTTGTATGCATCTGACGAAGTGGGTCTTTGCCCACGAAAGCTTATGCTCCTACACTTCAGTTAGTCTATAAGGTGCCACAGGACTCCTCGCCGCTAATGCTAATACTGTAACCATATTGCTAATGGCATTTCCCCTAAATTTGGGATAGTGCTGATTATGTGTCTTTGACTTTTAACTAAAATTTTGAATCTGAAGACAATCTAAGTACCATAACCAGATATACAGACACTCCTTGATCTGTGTATTATATATACATTTTTAACATTAGTTTTCATAATTTTTTAAAATTAATCTTTAGTGAATCTGCCCAGAGTTGAACTTCTTCTATGACGAACTTTCTTTCTGATTCTGATTATAATTCAGTTTTTCCCTCTTTTAAAAAAAATACTTTCCTTTCCTTTCCTTTCCTTTCCTTTCCTTTCCTCAGAGCTTTTGTAACTCTACTTTGCTGGCACAGCATACAAGTGACATTTTCTATTACTGGTCTGTCCATGCTGCAGTGATTTGTAAGTACTTTTACAATTTCCTTGAGAAGAAAAGGAAGTGAAACTGGCATTGTGCATTGGGCTTGTGACACTTGTATGCTTCCAGACATTTCTGATTGGCTTGGTTATTTTCCATGCAAGTAGTTAATGCCCTTCGGTAGTAAATAATAGAATTTGTAGAGAGGATGGTTGGTAAATATGCTCTACATGACATTTATAATTGGCTGGCAGAGGGAAAATATCAGTTGAGTGAAACCAAAATCTTTTAAACCAATAGGCTGCATCTAGACTGGCAAGTTTTTCTGCAAACACATCTGCTTTTGTGGAAAAACCTGCCAGCTGTCTACATTGGCTGCTTGAATTTCCGCAAGAACACCGACGATCTCATGTAAGATTGTCAGTGTTCTTGCGGAAATGCTATGCTGCTACCATTTGGGCAAAAGCCCTCTTGCATAAATGCTTTTGCGCAAGAGGACCAGTGTAGACAACGTGGTATTGTTTTGCGCAAAAAAGCCCCGATGGCAAAAATGGCGATCGGGGCTTTCTTGAACAAAACCGCGTCTAGATTGGCACGGATGCTTTTCCACAAAAAGTGCTTTTGCGGAAAAGCGTCCATGCCAATCTAGACGCTCTTTTCCGCAAATGCTTTTAACGGAAAAACTTTTCCGTTAAAAGCGTTTGCGGAAAATCATGCCAGTCTAGACATAGCCATATTGTTTGCTGGAGACATGCAAGGGTCCTGCATGCCATACTGCCATTCCTGCCAAGAGCATAAAGTATGGCATTGCCCCAATGCCAGTGATTTCCTTCACCACCCTCAATCCTGAATAAAAAGATTCCATAGCAGTGGGGAAGAAGGGTGGGTTATGGACAGAACATCTCAAGGAACCATAGTTCCTGTAAGGTAAGTAACCATTGTTTCATCTTTGAGGCTCTGTCTACATCTTGCTCCCATACTTGGTGATTGGCCAGGAGTTAGCTTCCTGAAAAGGTGGGAGCTAGGAGTTGTACTTAATAAGCATCAGCAGGACTTCCCTGCCAAACTGACAATAGAGAATAAGGACCAGCAAAAGTATGTTGTGAGCTCCAAATGGCTGCACTACAAATCTCTACTCTAAGGACTCTGGAAATTGCCTGAGCTCTAACAGAATGAGATTTAATTCGGGAGAAGGGAGCCACTTTGTTCAAATCCCATGAGAACCCATGGTAGGGCTCCTCACTCAAATCTGTGGCAGGACATGTCTACACTACAGAGGAGATCGACCTTCAGGGGTTGATCTTCTAGCATTCAATTTTGCAGGTCTAGTGCAGACCCCCCCAAAAAATTGAATGAGGGCAGCCCCCACCAGCATCTGGTACTCCTATATCAACAAGCAGTAAGGGAAGCCAATGGGAGTGTGCACTCCTGTTGGCCTCCCACAGTGTAAACACCGCGGTGGCTTGGCTTAAGGTAAGCCGAATGCAGCTATGCATGGATGGTGTACCTTAAGCCAACATGCCTGGTATAGTGTAGACCTAGACAAAGTGCCCCCTTGTGATGGTATATGTTCAGATCCAGCACCTCCTGCTGGCAGCCTACCTCTAGCCCCAGGTCTTCTGAGTCTCAGCCCTCCAGCCAAGACACCCTTTGGGGTATCAAACATATCCAACAAAAACTCCAAATGAAATTGAATAAAGTTCTTCTGACATCTTGAACCACTGTAGAGTTCTCTTCTCTAATGACAGACCCTATCAAAGGGCTTCCCATGCAGAAGCCTGTGCTGCCTCCATTGAGTCTGTCTGCATGCCCTAAACCTGGGCTTCTCTCAGCCAGGAGGACCCATATCTTCTGCCATCTCTCCCTTCACTCTACTGATTAAGATGTATCCCTGCCCCTTCTGGCCAGAAGCCAGTTAGCTACTCTCCTCCTGAGGTGCAAAGCATAACTAATTGGAGACATTCACTAGCCTGGCAAATGATGGGAATTAAGTCCCATCACGGACCTTCATGCAGCCTGAGATCTTTGAAAGTCTCTGTGTGGAAGTGGTTTGCTCTCTAAATTGGCATGTTGTCTGGATGGGCTCAGGATCGTGAGTGCCAGCCTCAGGGCAGGCTGTCAGGACAGCAGGGCAGACACGCCAAACTGTATATTCTATCATTAGATTGCTCCAGCTCAGTCTTACAGATAGTTACAGTCCTTACAGGCCAGCTGGACTACATGATAGATGGTCACTTTACATCAAAAATCATAAACCTATTCAGGTTACTCCCAGTCCAAAGGACCAGTAATTCACCCCACGTCATTTGTCCTCAGACCTCAAACCAAAGGGACACCTCTAGGCAATCCTGTAAGTAACTAAAGATTTATTAAGACATGAGAGTTATTTACACAGGCTGCGTATATACTACAAGCCTCTTGCAGAAGAGCAAATGCAAATGGAGCGCTCATTTGCATATGCAGCACTCTCATTCGCATTTCCTCTTCCTTTCCCTTTTGTGCAAGAGGTTTTCATGCAAAAAAGTGCTGTGCAGATGGCGCATTTTTGCGCAAAAAACCCCTTTTGTACAAGAGCTGTTCTTCCTCAAAAAATGTTAAAGCAGAAAACACAGAAATGAGTTAGTCTTAGATTTAAAAGGGTAATAGAAGCTTCCATCATAAGCAGCTCTATATGTCCTCTGAGGGTTGACATGTCAAGTGGCATGGGGATCTCTTGCTGATGTTTAGGACTCTTTGCTTGTCACAGTGCAGACAGCATAAAGATCCAGTTTCTTGTCAGTAATTTTTATCCCCCTTCAACCCAGAATTTGAGGAGATGGAATAAATCCATTCACAGGCTGCCCCACCGTGGAGGAAGTTAAGAATGTTGTGAATAAGGTCTCTGTCCTGATGCAACTCATTTGCCTTCAATGGGCTTTCCTGAGTACTGCATGTGCACTTTACCTTAACTAATGCTTCTCCTCCGGTTTGGTGAGTTATACAGCGACAGAGGTGTACAATGTAGCAGTCAATAGAATAACTTTCCACCATGGGATATAGATATTATACATAGGTTTGGTACATGCAGCATCCGACAAGCATTTCATAATATTTAAACACCGAACAGATTCTTAAAACAGTAATAGCTACTTTAACAATACTAACCCACAGGTAAGCCAAGCTAGTTTCCAGCATTGAACAAGGCCTTGGGCTTTGACAGGAACTGGCTGCTAGTCACACCCATCACAATCGGCGATCCACTTGGAATGTCTTGGTTAAGAAACAGTTTGCCCTTGAGATTTATCTACAAAAGGCTGCAAATAGCCTAGGGTGCTTTATGAAACAGTTTAATTCTTTGAAAGTAACCAGAAAAAATGGATGCCTGGTCACCCTACCCTCCACCCTGCTTCCAGCTGTACCTTCAACCTGGTCCTGACCCTACATCTGGTGCTGACCATCGCTCAACCCACTAGGCTGACTTCTGGGGACTAATGTCTGACACACTGTGGCTCAGACACATCTGAGTCATAATTATGTTTCTGCATCTTCCTTGTGCTGTGATCTGGCTAGTAACTTGCTGCTGGGCTATCCCAGCATCTCATTACAACACCTCTGTGCTAGCTAGGCTGCTCTGACAAGGGCTTGGTCCTATGCCCACTGGCTCCAATAGCCAACCTCCTGTGGATTTCAATGGTGCAGAAACAGGCTTTATCCAGACAGGTGTCTGTCCACCTCTTGCCCCTTCCTGCCCACCTCCACCAGGCAGGAAAAAGCAGACACTTAGCACCAGCTCTTTGCCATATACCCAGGGCCTGGTAACCAGTGCACGGGTGCCAGAAGAATTCATACTCTCGTGCTGGTTCATAATCGCATCATACTCTAGTCCTAGAATCAGTAGGGATGTGGGCACATAGCATCTAGCAAGAGCAGACCTATTGTCTGATTAAACAGAAGGTTCTGATTAAAGGATCAGCATATTGCCTCTCAGAGTGTCATAAGATGGTAGAAACTATTCTTCTGGGCTTTTTTTATTAAAATAATTTTATTTATGCATAACAAAATGAGCTCAGTTAAATAATCATAATCATTCCAAGATTCATAGATGCAGCAAGGTTCTTAGGCAAAGCAGGATTTACACAGAGTTAAGTACACAGTGAAATAATAACTAGCAGTGTGAGAGGCACACATTACAAATGCCATGCGAGCATGTACCACACTGTGTTAGGGCCTGTTCTGTGGGATGCAGAGTGTCCTCAGCTCCCACTATGGTCAGTGAGTGTGCTGTACCCGACAGCATCACTTCCTTATCCTGTTCATGAGTAACTAGTGCACACCCCACCCATTTCGTTGTCCTCGTGAACATACAAAGGTAAAATACACCAGGTGAAGAGCCCAGTCCATCAGAGCAGTTACACACCTGTTTAATTTTAACAGGACTGCTCATACACTCAAAGTCCATTTGTCAATGTTTATAACACACTTAGAATATGGAAGCCAGAAGAAACACTTGTTGTCACTGTGTTCGTGGCGTTCAAACCCTTTTAGAAGCAAAATGTTTGCTCTCTGGCAGATGGATGTTTTCTTTTTTAAAAATGACATCAGTGCTTGCCAGATGGGCTGTCCAGGAACCAGTGTCCTCTATAATGCCACAGAATAGGCTAAGTACTAGCAGTGACAGTACAAGCTTCACCACACTGTTGCTGATGTGCCTCGTACTCTCATACAGAAGGACCAATCAACCTTGAAGAAAGGAGAGCCCATTTTCGGCTCTTTGCCCATTCAATCTTAGTCACATGGCAAGAATGCATCTAGGTGATTCATTTGTATTGCTATGTTCAAGTGTCCAAAAACATGTGCCAGGTAATTTCCTGAACACAGAAGATTAGCTAGTCCTGCAACCAAAAGAGCTTACATTCTGCTTGTTAGTTGTACATTAGAATGGTGGAATTAATTTTCTGGAAGGGCAGATCTATTATATGTCTGTATGACTATCAGCCTATGGGGATTTTATGGCTGTTAACTATTCATATTCATAGATTGTAAGGCAACAAGGGAACATGTGCTCATTTTAGTTTGACACCTGTCTGACAATACGTAAAAGGTCTGTGTTTTGGACCAAGATGGGAGTTGTGTGCCATTGGCTTCAGCAGGGCCAAGATTTTACCCCTTCTTTTTAAAATCCCCCATGACTTGTTCCAGCCTCCAGCTTCTCTTTGTTTTCTTTTTGATTCTCTCTGTTCATCTAGCAGATAGAGCAAATTCTATTTTCTATACAATTTTCTGTTTACGCAAGAACTCTTTCTAGTGGACAAACTTTTCTGCATCTCTCTCCTTCATTAACTCTCCATCAGTTCTCCAACCAAATCTGAAAATGGATTTTTCCTCCTTTTCCAATACCTCTTCATTTCTCCCTCCCTCTTTGGTTATTTATGTAAGGGCAATAATTTGAGATTTTGAAGTATAATACATTTATTTTCGCAATTTTAAAAGGTATATATGTCAACAAATGAGAGAATTTCACCTTTGATTTTCATGAACAATCTATCTTTAAAAAATCATGTACATTAATATAAAATCATGAAAAAACTTTAAAATCATCAGTTGCAATATTATGCAAAGACCTCCCACGGCATCCTTCCTCGCTCTTATGTTTATGGAAAACATTTCCCTCTCAATATTTGATAATATAGATATTAATTAATATTATATTTACTTTTTATAAAAGTTTTTGTGCAGTATCAAAGACTGTATGCTCACATTTAAAAATGGACACAGAATCAAATTTTAAAACAGTTAATACAGTTATAGCAGTTCCTTAATGATGCACTTTGTGCTTGCTTCTGAATAAGCAGCTAAAGGAGTAGAGTGTTGAAATATTTTGAGTCAGTTTCATTTTTGTGAAATGAATGGTTATGTCTTATCTTTATAACTGGCAGAATGTGTTGTGAAGTCAGGATTCTATTTTTAACTGCAGTATTCGTGTCTGATTAGTTACAAGGAGAGATGTAATTGTCTATGATCCTACAACAATCTTACGACTGATTGCACCAGGCAAGGTGTAGATGAAAAGCACCAAGAAGATGATCAGAATAATGAGAATCAGGGCAATGATGATGTATTTTTTGTAATTTCTCCAGATGAGGTGATATAAACACTTGAATGGATTTACAAACCAGGAGAAGGAAGTGTCTGGACGGCTGAAGGGGAAAGAAAAGACAAAAAATTGGTAAGGGAAAATTCAGACATTTCCAAACAATATTACATTATAAAATTCATGCTGTAACAAAAATGTCACTGATAAAAGAACTATTTAATACCTTGAAATCCACTAAAAGTTCCTAATAATCAGAGCAATAACCAAAAGCTCAATCAGCTAAAGTATGTACTTCAGCTGCCCCATTTCCTCAAATGATCTTGAAAAAACTTGTTCTTTAGAGGAAATATTGTTATTTTGCACTTTATCTTAATTTAAAAGAACAAGTGCAAAAAAACCTGTAGCCCAAGTATAAGAACATATTGTAGCCGTCAGAGTTATCACTCCTTTGTACTTTCGCACCCTCTATGTAATATGAACTAAACAACTTCTTAACCAAACAACTGACTGTCATGTGTGCCATTTAAAATGTGTGATGAACTATTCATCTACTTTCTTTTAAGTACTTGGGTTTTCTAATTGATGTGATAGGACCTTTGTTGTCCCACAGCAACTTCAATTGCTGTTTTAAATTGGGAATTATTACAGGTTGAACCTCTCTGGTCTGGGACTCTGGTCCTGTAGCATTCATGGTCTGTTAGGACCACGGATGTTGCTGGACCAGAGAATCCCAGCGGCAGAGGTTGCCAGTAGCTGGGAGCAGAGCTGGTCAGTGAAGCCAGTGGGGCAGTGGAGCTTGTGGGCCAGCGGAACTCTTGGGCCAGCAGGGCAGCAAAGCCGGTGGGGCACTTGCCACTGGAGCCTGAGGGGCCACAGAGCCAGCAGGGCTGCCCAAGCCAGCAGGGCAGCACAGTCCTTGGGGCTGGTAGGGCAGCAGAGACCGTAGAGCTGGCTGGGTCACTGGAGCCTTCAGGGCTGCAGGGTCATGAGACCGTGGGGCCAAGTAGCTGGCAAGACTACTAGAGTCCTGGAGTCAGGGGCAGCAGAGCCCAGTAGCTGGGAGAGGAGCCCAGCAAGGAGGCTGGTGTTTCCCTCCATCCACCCTCGATCTCCTCTGGTCCAGCAAACTCCCTTGTCTGGCACTAGTCAGGGTCCAGGGGTGCCAGTCCAGGCAGGTTCAATCTGTACTACTATGTATCAGAAATAACAGTACAGTTGGGCTGAATGATGTGCTGGCTTTACATTTTCATCATGAACACTTAAGCAAAAATTTAGCATTAAAGGGAATCCTTCACAAGTTAAAATTACCACAAGTAAGATTTTTTTAAAGCTTCTGTGGTAGAGAATCTCATTTCAATTTCCTTGTCTTTCTGTCGCTGTAACAGATTAAAGCGTATAAACCTAAACTTATTATTGTACATGACTGTTTTTCTAATACAAAACCCCGAACCAGCAATTTTTTTGAGAGCGGTGGAGTTTGGTCAGATAAAAAGTTAATTCACACCTGTTGCTCTGTGAAAGGACTTTAAAAAAAACCTGAGACAGTTTTACATTGAAAAATATGTTGCCTTATTTAAATTCATCAAAGAATAAGTGAATATAAATGTGATAAAATTGTACAATTCCTATATGATCAGATTTCCAAAGTCAAGTGTGCACAGTCATTGACATGTGTCTAATTTTATGCATACAAATACCAGATATATACAAACAAAACAGACTTGTGGATAGATATCGGCCAGCTACACTCCTTCACATATGGGCAAAGAATTCATCATATCTAATATAGAGGAGAAAGCCCCTAGATGTATAGGTTAGCAATGACACACACAGCAGATATTGATTAACATAATAACTGTGAAGTACTTAGCAAATATTAATTATTTAAGCCTATATTCCTGTCAGATACTCTAGGTAAATATCATGACTTCAAATTTTTGTATCTGGGCAAACTGACTCAGAGAAACTAACAGCCTTTGCTGGAGTTATGTATCAGAGCCAGAAGCAGACACAAGGAGCCCTCCTACTAAGTTCCTCATCACACTAGCCTTCTTGTCTCACATAGTGAATATGCTCCTACTCACTTGGGTTTCTCCAAAGGTTCAGGTTCTTTCCGAGCTTTGCCCACAGGACTCTTCTCAGCTTCCTCTGCTGTGACTAAATGGAATTCAGCTTCCACTTTGCCCTACAGCAAGGAGTAAATGTGGATTAATAGCTGATCAAATATTTAATCAAGTGTTATTAATCAATAATCATCTAGTAGCCAATTAGCACTCATGAGATTGATAAAAATGCATCTGCATCATTTTAGATTAGTTGGCTGAATAATAAACAACTTTATTTATTAACAGTCTATTAATTAAGTTCAAGAATTGACAACCACAAACAATGAGGATAAATTCTTAATTTACTTTCCTTAGTTAATATGAAGAGCCTATAACAATGTAATTTAATAAGGCTCACCCACTAAATGTTAGTAGTGATAAAAATCACTTGCATTGGACTTTCCAATCAAGATATATTATTTGAATTATTAGGGTTCTATCATGTAAAGTTAGGTATTCCAACATGGAAGTTACAATATAAATATTATTGCTCAACTGATTTCTGTGAGATTAGTACTTTTCTGTCTCTTTACAAAGTACCGATCAGAATATCTGTACATGAAAGAGGTTCTTCTAATAATCTTAGATTACTCAGCTTTAATCATTAGTGATCTGCTTACAGTGAGCTCCCCAGCTTTGACAAAAGGCCACCATCCTCTGACCCGCTTTTGCTGAAATATGGAGATCTTGTTTTCTTTACTTGTTGCCGTTACCATGCTTATGTCGCAACTCTTGGCAGACTTGGCTGCTCGAGGAAATTCATTCAGTTTCATTTCAAGGGAGCCTGGGGAGAAAACACCATCACTTGACATTTCAGATATAAAGGCAGTCAAAGAACAACCAACTTATAGCTAGCTATCATCTTCATGACCCTCCCATGTCTGTAGTATCTGTGTGTCTAATGGCTCATTTTGCTATTCAACACATGGCCCTTATTAAAATATACCTACTTAGTTGCTATTCAACTGTTACTTGGCAATACCCCAACACTTCTTACAGGGATCTGAGTAGTAGTTCTCAAATATATTGGCAAGGCAACCATCCACCATGGTTTTTGAAAATTGTCACCAGAACTTGGACAGATTAATCTACTATAATGAGGACTGATAACTCTCCTATTAAAAAAGGCAAAGAAAGGGGATGTATCACATTTGTTATTGATTTGTCTAGATTTTAGTTTTGTTTCTGTGTATGTAATAAAATCAATATAAATGGTACAGAGAATAGGAAGACAGCAAATATGAGTTCCTAAGGGAGTTCACAGAGAAAGATAACACCACCCTGACAATGCCCCTGGTCAGGACCTCCCCAGTATCTGGGGAAAGCTGCACTGCCCCACATCCCTGCCCTTCAGTGGCCAGGCTGCTGAGCTGGGCTGCCTTCCCCAGTGGCCAAGGGGAGCTGGACTGCTGTGCCACAGTTCCAGCTTTCCCCAACAGCTGGGAGAGCCGGACTGCCGCACTGCAGTTCTAGCCTTCCCCAAGGGCTGGGGGGAGTTGGGCTGCCACCTGGTGGTTCCAATCTTCTCTGGGGATCGGGAGGAATCGGGCTGCTGTGCCGTGGTTCCAGACTTCCCTGGCGGCAGCCACAGCCTTAGACAGTGGGTCATGTAGGCATTTTTGCCTACATTATTGACTGCCCATGACCAGATACTTATCAGGAATATATTTTCTAACAGTGTTACCCACCAGCTCTGTGATTATTGGGGAACCAGAACATGGTCACCTGTCAGCCTTGTGCTCTTGGGGAGTCAGGGAGTGACACTCGTGGAAAACCATTCCCCTCCCTCAGGCCTCTGCTAGAATCAAAGACAAAGCAATGAAAAGGCCAGGGAAGACACACCTAAACTGCTTCAGACAAGGGTGATACAATTAAGGAAACACCCCAGCCTCATTTGCATTAAAGATGGAACAGAGGGACATCTCATTAGCATACAGAATGGAGAGCAGCTCTTCCAAGGCAGGAACCGCACTGAACTATGGGACACCGAAAGCAGAGAAGCACTGCCTGATGGGAAATCCCTGCTCCAGATGCTAATGAACCTAAGCCTGCTCACACCCAAATTAGTCATTATCAGACCAATTCTAGTAACGATCCTATTGACATCTAAAATACTGAAACTGCCAAGTTGCATTGTGAGCTCCTTCAAGGAACATCACCCATAACCAGGGGTGATCAGTCTCTATTGTCTCTCCTCTTTCTCTTTGAACTATCCCTATAAAAACTCCTATCCTTGTCCCAAGAAAACTGTTCTGATACCTGGACTTAAACTGCATCAGTTCCATTGAGACTTCTTCATCTCCTGTCTGATCGTGCTGGGGGCTCTGTCCTGCTTTTCTCCTGCCCTCTGGACCCCCGGCTACCATCATCATCTGGGAACCCCGATCAGTGCAAGCTCCGTGAAGTGGTGAGGTCTCTCTCTCTCTCTTTCTCTCTCTCTCTCTCTCTCTCAACTATCTCTCTGAGCATAGCCTCCTGACCCTGCCCTGTGTAAACTGTTATATGGTTACCTAACGTTTGTAATCAGTTTCAATTTAGATTTAATATTGTAATTGTTAGATTTAATATTGTAACTTTTTGATATCTATTCACTACTCAGAAATAAATCACTTTCATTGTTAAGCTGGTTGCTTCTCTCTCTTTCTTTCTCTTTTGCTCACTCTTCCTTAAGGGGTGTTGTTTTGGCTTCCCCATTCGCTCTGCAACAACGCTTCTTGTACCCAAGCAAAAGATCCCTGTAGTGCCCAAAATCCTGTGGGGTTTGCTCATCGTGTGGTTTACCTGTGAATGACTGTGGTGTGAAAGTGGGGATAGGGGGTGCTGAACCTGGGGGCTTATGAGGATGGCAGCTTAAAGTGCTGTTTAATCCAGCCCACGGAGTCCAAAGGCACATGAGGGTGCAGTGTGGCATTGCTGTGAAACCCAGCCAGCTGAGTCCAGGGACATATGAGGGGGTCAGCTTGTGAGTGCTGAGTACCCAGTCCTCTCAGACGTGCTCTGATTAGTGGGTGTGAGTGTCTGTGTGTGTTGCCAAGGTGGTAAGAACCCCATCCTGAGGAACCTAGTTCCTGCAGGAGAGCTCCAGTGGGAGGGGGAATTGGCAGCAGGGAGAATTCAGCTCCATATGAGAGCCCAAGTAAGCACCAACAGCACACTGATAGAACTGTTAACCTTCCCCCAGTCCCATAAGGGTAACCCTGATAAATGAGCATACCCCAGGGTATTGGGCAAATCTGGTAACAACAGTGAGCTCTGTTCATCTAGATCAGGGGTGGGGAACCTTTTTTGTATCGGGGGCCACTAGCCCACAGAAAAACCAGTGAGAAGCAAAAAAACCCAAACCAAACCAAACCAAAAACACCCACCACCCAAACCTGCTGATGTGGCCCCTAAATGAGAAGAAGAAAGACATTCCCCACATCCCAGAGCCTAAGGGGGCGTAGGCTAATAGATTTTGTGTGCTTCAGCCCCATGGGGGGGGAAGGGGCAGAAGTGATGGAGCCCCAGTATGGGCTGTCCAATGTTGGGAGAGAGCCCAGAGTCTCAGGGCCCAGGTCCAGGTAAACTGGAGGCTGCATCCAGCCCCCGGGCCACAGGTTCTCCACCCCTGGTCTAGTATAATCTAGATGTAGCCGGCACAGCAATTTTATTCTTAAATGTACAAAGCAGTTGAGAATATACTCCTGGCAAATAAACTGAACATCCTGCATTGTCAGGAGATATGGATTGACTTAAATAGGTTCTTTTCATTGGTGATTTCTATACTTTGGCCCATATTAAGTATTACCTGACATTACAGAAAAAACGTGACTATGAGTTATGATGGGGAGTAAGCAGGGCAACTTTTATTCAGCGTCCAAAAATATGCCACTCAGACCATGCATTTAGGTAGCCAAAACCATGTATTTGTTAGGAATTCTAGCCATTGAGTGTATTCATGGACGCTCGTTGACAATTGGGCCTTAGCTACCTTCTTAAACACTTTTTACAAAATAAAGGTCTATGATGATTTGAATGGAAGTACAGTTGGCTTCACTGTTTGCTTACCTAGGAAATCATCAGAAGAAAGTCTTTCAAAGTCCCAAACCTGGAGCACTAGCACTGCTGGCATTTTGCGTTCTGTCTTTTCCAAGGAAAATATGTTTTCTTTCTTGTTGACCACCATTTGCTTCTCCGCTGGAAGGTAGTGGAAGGGAAACACAAAGCGCCAGTTGAAGTTCCCTTCTCCAGTCAAGGAGTTGTAATGCACATCTGTCTCCTGTTTGTCCTCTTCCAGTCCTTTTAGCCACCTACCTCATGCACACAGGTGAATACAGCAGGGTTAATAGGAAGGCTGTACCATGGGTATTAACATTTAATTATAAGAAGTATTGTTTATCAACCCTTTCTTTCATAAGTACTGTTAGAGCAACTGGATGGCTGAGGTGGTGGTTAATCCCTAAAACACCATTCGAACATGGCTCAGGCTCTCAATGACTGAAAATCACTAACAAAAGTTTAGAAGGATAATATGAGCTCTACTTAGGTCAGACTTGCAAAATTCTAATTACCCACATACCAATGGCTAATCATTAAAAACAAATTTGATGGACAAGCAAACTATCATGAGTGTTTTCATTATCAATCACCATAACAAAAGATGCATGAGCAGATTTTGTGCCTTTGCAGGTAGATAACATGATATTCTCAGATGTTAATTTAGTACTTAATGTCATCAAAATTATTTGTATCTGCAAGTGCTCTAGTATGAAGGATGTCAGGTGTAAGCACAGCTGACTGCTTCCTCTAAATGTTCTTGTGATTTGCTGTTTTCTGATACATCACCAACAATCACCAACAATGCATCATGTGCCAAAAATCCATATTGTGCTTCTCTAAAATATTATTCTTTAAAATATTATTACTCTTGAAAATATTATTATTCAATCATTTACAAATGTATCTACGGTAACTTTCCGATAATACGGCACCTTTAGGACCCAGGGGGTGCCGGATTATCAAATATGCCGGACTATTGGAAGGGGGGGCTATGAGGGGTCTGGGGCGGACTGTGGGGATGTGCCCCTTGGCGCTGCGGGACCAACTCGGCAGCACCCCAGCTGCTCTGCCCCAGCCCTCTCCCAGTCCTGCGTGTATTGTAGGTAGGTAGGCTGAAACTAACCAGCGGCTGACTCGGGGAAGCCAGGGGCAGAGCAGCTCCAATTGTCCCGGCTGCCCGGAGCACTTCCGGGTTCCAGATGGTGCCGACCATCAGGAGTGCTGGACCATTGGATGCCGGACCACTGGAGTTTTAATGTATTTGGTTTTTTTTAATTCTTCAGTTAACAGGCTCTAACTTTCAGTCAATAATTTGAAATCTGCACCACATCCAACAGAATTAATGCCACTCAGTACCAATGAGTGGCATTATACAAAAAGGTGATTAAAAAATATGAACAGTCTCAAAGATGGCACTGAGAACATAAACAAGGTCAGGATTGGGTCGGACCAGTGGTCTTCCTATCCTTGTATCCTTTCTTCCAACAGTGGCCAATGCCAGGTACTCCAAAGCGACTGAACAGAAGAGGGCAATTTTTGAATGGTCTATGCCCCGTCATCCAGCCTCAGCTTCTAGCACTCAGAGATGAGGGACATCTAGAGCATGGGGTTATATCCCTGACCATCTCTGCTAATTGTCATTGATTAACTTATCCGCCACAAACTATCCAGTTATACCCAGATACCAGTTAACCCAGGTATAGTTTTGGCTTTCACAGCATCCCTGGCAATAAATTCTACAGATTAACTGTGTGTTGTGCAAAGAAATACTGTCTTTTGTTTGTTTTAAACCATTTGCCTATTAATTTCACTGGGTGACCCCTGCTTCTTGTGTTATATAAAGAAATAGATAACGCTTCACTATTCACTTTCTGCACACCATACATGATCTTATAAACCTCTATCATACCTCCCCTTCATTGTCTCTTTTCAAAGCTCAAAAGTTCCAGTTTTATAATTTCTCCTCATACCAAAGCTATCCCATACCCCCTAAACATTTCTGTTGCTCTTTTCTGTGCTTTTTCCAATTCTAATATATTTTTTCGAGATGGAGCAACTAAAACTGTACACAGTATTCAAACCCTTCCCCCTCGTTCTTAGCTGCAGCACCAGGGTGGAGAGGGAGAAAGCTCAGCCAGATGTGGGGGAAGGCATGGGAGGGAGAGAAAAGCCCCCTGTCAACTGGGGAGAGACTGGGGGGGAAAGAAGGTCCCTGCCAGCTGGGGGGAGAGAACACCCTGTTGGATGGGACCCCCCCACCCTGAGTCCTTTCTCACATTCAACCCTCACTCTCACACCTCCACACCCCCAGCCCTTTCTCGTTCCCCACCCTCACTCCAGCACACTCCTCACTCTCAGCCTCCTGCTCTGACTCCTGCACCCCCCTGCCCTGAAGGACCCAGGCAATGCTAGTAACTCTGCTAATGAGCATATATTTAAAGGTGAAAGAGGACCAATTAGTTTCCAGAATGGCTGGCTATTTTGGCAGACACAGCAAATTATGAAGATCCCAGAAATGTCTCACAAGGAGAATAGCTTTTTTTATACAACAACATAAATTCTATGACTTTGGTCTTTGGTGGATGGCTTGAATCAGATGTTAATTGTCCTGTCAAAGAGTACATGAAGAGATGCAAAAAGTGACATCCAGAGGAACTCACCCTTTTACATAGATGTCGCTTGATTTTTGTCCTGTAAAGATATTCTCATCCTCTAAAATTACATCATCTGTATTCCAGATGATTACTCTCAATTCATAACTGAAAAAGAAAAAAGCCAACATTTTGCATATTTCAGTTCACAGTAAAAAAAAGCCCTTCTAATTAATTTCTGTTCATCTTTTCTGAGTGCGCATAGGTCCTTAGTCTAACCAGACACTGGTATAAATTAGTAGTAACTTTCTCAACACAGTGTTCTATTGATGTAAAAGTGGTTTGAATGGGATCATAATCAGGTTCTTAAGCCTACTGGAAGGTCTCATGATATAACAGAATCAGGGGCTGTTTGCTAAGCTCATGAGGAAAGTGACAGCAGTTGTCACTGGCAGCATCAGAACAGGGAAAAATTCCTCACTGGTTATTTGAATATGTTCTTTTGTAATTCTGATCACAAAAATGCGGCAACGAAACAGGACTAGACTGCACTGAACAACATAATCTGAGCAGCCACAAAATACTGAGCAACTTGCCAAAGAGAGCAAAACCCATTTAGGCACGTAGGCAATCTTCTGTTCAGAGATTTTGTTGTTGACAGTAGATGATTTGTGATGTAATCTAGTGCAGAAAAAGGAGGAAGAATGCTGTTCAGAAACACCTTTGGGGAGCATGGATAAATGAAATCTCTAGGAGAGACATTTTATAGCACTATCCAGGAAAGGGAATTAATTCCTCCCCATTACTTTCATTCTGAACACACAGGTATAGTGAGGGTGTGGGCAGGGGCGGCCCGTGAGTCTAGTCAGACTAGGCAGTCGCCTATGGCGCTGCTGGCCCGGGCGCCCCGTGATTACGTCATGGCCATTGACGGCTGTGCAGGCGGAGGCATCGATCGCGCCTTCCGCCTGGGTCGCCAGCTGCTACAGCCGGCCTCGGGCAGCTCCTGAGTGCGGGAGACCCTAGAAACACATCTATCTACATATCTGTCTTGAACCAGTTTAATACACCACTCTTCAGGCTAATTGTCATATAACATCTTCCAAAGTCAAGGTCTCTTGCAGAAATCTAAACCTCTCCGATGATTAACATTTCAACTACATTTTTGTGTGTTCATGTAGGCCACAGCATGACAGCAACATTTTGTTCTTGCAAATATTATTATGTGCAAATCTTTCTGGTTTGAAAAATTCACAACTGATAACACGCCTCTCATAAAATCCTAGTATAAAGAAAGCTCTTGTTAGACAATCTTCTTTTTTGTCCAACTATGGACCTTGATTAGTATTGACAGCAGCATAATGGGTTTTTTTAATAGCATTGTATTTTGTTTGAACATAAATGTTCACACTGCTTCTGTGAAATTGTCCCAGACATAAAGATTACCTAACAAAGCCCATATTAAAATAACACATTAAAGTTTGTTTGCGGTGAACCATGAATTCTTCTTGTCATTTGTCATTTATTATGTATCAAACACTAACTGCTAGCTAGATTAACTCATTTAGTGTTATGTCAAAATAGGAGATGTATCTGCCTGACATTACAGAGACACTTAATATTTCAAACCAATCTCTCTCTGCAGCCTGCTTTTGTGCTTCTTAATCTCATATTTGCCCAAAGTAGTGAAAACCCCTTAGGTACAATAATATGAGATGGAAGATCTTTACCAACAGTCACGTATAGTACGTATGGGACAGCGCTCAAGTGGCATAGAGTCTAAATGATTATGTTGGAGTTAAGAGTTCAGTGGAAGAATAATAACTTTAAGACTCGCTGAAGCTGCCTCCTGTACTCTGGTCTTTTTAGCACAGTTGAGTGAATCATATGGAGTCTTTAAATCAAAACTGAATGCCTTTGTAATTGGAGTTATTGATTGATGCAGAAATTACTGCTAAGATTTTAAATCCTGTGTTATGGAGGAGGTCAGACTAGATGATCATAATGTTCCCTTCTACCTTTAAAATCTATGAATCTATGGCATTGTTCCTCAGCTTAATTAATGTTTTGCAACTACACTTCTCATCAGACATTGGGTCTCATTTATATGGCCTTGCTGTCCAGACTACAGGGGTTTGAACTGCAGTGTGAGCTGGACCTGCCCTATCCAGACTTGGCTGTAGTCCTGTTTGAAATGACATGACGCTAACATGATCTAGATACCTTTCAGTTTGTGCTAGCGGGCTATATATGGGATAGTTATAGCTAAGGATGTTAAATATGTTTTAATTGAATAGTCGAGTAATCGCATGAATTCTTATTGGTTAGTTGACTATTCTAAAGTTCCCGGGGGCAGAGCCGGCAGCCAGTGCACTCCGGACTCACTCCCAAGGAGCCCCCTGCTACTCCACACTGCTGCCTCTGTATCACAGGCAGTAGCACAGGGTGCCAGGGGTTTAAAAACCGGCTCCCCTCACAGACTGGCTGTCTGTTGCCCTGTGCTGCTGCCTCTGATAAAGAGGCAGCAGCACGGAGTGGCAGCAGCCCTTGCCTAGTGGGGCGGGGAGGGGTGAGCTCCCAGACCTAGTGGGAGCTAGAACTGAGCCGGGCTGCCTGTCCACCTAACTCCTAATACACTTTAAACGCAGAGCTGCAGTGGAGATAGGCCCCAGACCCAGCATGAGCCAGGACTCAGCGGGGCTGCCTGCCTGCCCCGTTCCTAATATACTTTAAATGCAGAGCCACAGGAGGAGTAGGTCCTGGACCCATCGCAAGCCAGGACTAAGCCAGGCTGCTGGCCAGCCTGCTAAAAAATTTACTGGTGGGAGGTGTGGAAATGCATGTAGTCTAAAGCAAAAAGCTTATAGGTTAATGCTAATCAGTTAATCAACTCTACTGTTACATCCCTAGTTACAGCACAACATGCCAGTCTGTGCTGAAACTCACAACCTGTCTGCTGTGCTGTGAGGCACAAGCCCTTTGAAAGAGTTAATATTTGCAGGATGATGCCAAGACACTGACAGCACAAAGGGAATGCACCGTGAGTTACCCTTTGGGTTTCCTTGGTGAAATATCAACAGGTGGTCCTGGCAGAGGCATATCTTTGGGAAACATGTCCACCCACATCTGCACACGCCCCTTTAAGAAACGAAACAAGTTAGTGAGAATTTTAACAGCATTAAAAATAGCTAATTTCAAAAGGCTTCACAAGCACATTTTCTTCTAGAAATACCAATCATGTCATTAGAGTATTTGTAAGTTGTCTGTTCTGTGGTTCCCCACCTCCACGTACAGAATCTATATCAGTGGTATGAGATCACATCAAGAATCAACATTTAAGGTCTAGAGAACATGATCTATGAGGGAAGGCTGAAAGAATTGAGTTTGTTTAGTTTAGAAAAGAGAAGATTGAGGGGGGACATAATAGCAGCTTTCAGGTATCTAAAAGGGTGTCACAAGGAGGAGGGAGAAAACTTGTTCATCTTGGCCTCTGAGGATAGAACAAGAAGCAATGGGCTTAAACTGCAGCAAGGGAATTGTTTAGGTTGAACATTAGGAAAAAGTTCCTAACTGTCAGGGTAGTCAAACACTGGAATAAATTGCCCAGGGAGGTTGTAGAATCCCCATCTCTGGAGATATTTAAGAGTAGGTTAGATAAATGTCTATCAGGGATGGTCTAGACAGTCTTTGGTCCTGCCATGAGGGCAGGGGACTGGACTCGATGACCTCTCGAGGTCCCTTCCAGTCCTAATACTCTATGATTTCAGACAGAGGTTGAAATTTTAAGATATTTTAAGATTTTAAGTATATTTTAAGAATTTGTGCTTGGTTCTTGGACTTCCATTCCCTATACGTAAATTATTTATCTATGTCGAGGCCAGATGCATCACTTCTGTCCACCTCCCATCCTGCATTGTGTGCTGCAATCTGCAATAGAACTATATTGCTCTAAACCCTAGGCTTGTGATGGTCCTGTAATTCATCCTGCTTCAGGCTGTGGACAAAGGGGAAACCTCCCTGCCTCACTTCCATTTCTACTTCCTTTATTATGTGTGTTTATATATGGGGCCAGATGTTTATCTGAGAACTAAACCAGAACCATGTTTTTATTTCTATAGCCAAACTCAAACTTGATCCTGCTATAGGATTTGGTATGTTCAGAAGTTTAACATTTTCACTTGCTTTTCACTCTTGGGTTCCTAGCAGTGCAGGACATGGTGAAATGCCTCAACAAGAGAGATGTTTCTTGTGGTACTTTCAAATCAGGCCAAGAGTGGTAGCAATTGAAATCTTGCGAGAGAACTTATTCTTAGGAGTTTTCCAGCCCAATTTTGGAGACTCAGGAGGGTTGGATAATTAATTGAAAGGAACTCAGATTGTGAGGTCGTTTTTGGTTTGGCCATCACAAATAAGAACATCTTGCAACAAAGCAGTGACTATCACAATTCTCATCATTATCATTGTGTTACACATTAGCAGAACTCTACAACAATGAGGGTAGATTCTAAGCTCCCAAAGAGGCAAGCCTATGTGAGCTAACGAGGAATCACCATTAGCTGTTCACAATATAACAATAATACTTATCCAGACACACCTATTGAGCAATTCTGATTCCTCTACACAGATGGTTTGGAGAGAAATCAGAACATTTACTGAATAGTAAATTATATTTTCCCAATGAAATACATGTATATATTTAAATATATTTATGAAGATGCTGGAATTCCATTGTCTTCATTGTATCTTCATGAAGTCAGAGAGACTTAAACATGTCCTTAAATGCTTTACTGCAGTCAAATTTCTAAGTAGTTATTTTCAGATATGAGCAAAAGGACTCTTGGTAAGATTCCCTAAAAACAAATTTTTATGATAAAGTTAAAACTGAGAGCACCCTTACAAGAACTTTCCAGATAGCGACAGTCATTCAAATAACAAGAAGTCCTGTGGCACCTTATAGACTACCAGATTTATTGGAGCATAAGCTTTTGTGGGCAAAGATCCACTTCGTCAGATGAAAGCTTATGCTCCAATAAATCTGGTAGTCTATAAGGTGCCACAGGACTCCTCGTTTCTATGCAGATTCAGATTAACATGGCTACCCCTCTGATTCTAGTCATTAAAATGCAATCAAATGCAGAGTTAACATTAAATTTACAAGAAACCTCAAAATCTGAAAATATGAACATTTGAAGTGAAATCAGATCATTCTTGCTTAGATGCCTAAATATAAATTTAACTGCCTCACAGTACATATGCACATTTGACAGTTTTGAACTATGCACTTATTCTTTTGTGCAAACGACAATGGAAACAGGAGCATTTGTGAGATTTCCCTGCTCTGAGAAAGTACCAGAAATAGCAATGGAAAACCTCTCCCACATTCCATGCGTTCACTGTGGGCTTGTTTACCTGTTCCATGCCTGGTTTATCCTTGTGATAGAGAGCCCGAGTCTCAATGTGTTCTGGAACCAGCTTGCATCCAACCCCTGGGATTTCATTCCAGGAACGTAAAACCTTCAGGGCAAGTTGTTCATAGGATTCTACTGGCTCTTCTATAAGAAGGAGTAATGGAAAGAAAAAAAGAACAAATCAGAGCTTATTAAGGGCATTATTAATATGGTCTATCAGTTTTGAAAGAAATGTATTGAAAGCCTGCTTAAGTTTAGAGCCACATTTAATGCGTCCCAAGGAAGAACAGAGATATCATAAAACACATTTATTCCTTAAAGTAAGAGCACCCACAGGAGTAACTGAAAGTTTAAGCGCTGAGAAAGAAACTAATTACAAAACCCCCCCATGCATTCTTGCAAAATTATACAGGCCTATTTTAGTGCTTTTTCTAACAGTAGATTTGCTAGCTGCTTTCTTCCTCTAAATAATTAAGTCTTTAACTAAAAAGTTTCCATCCAAGCAAAGAACAGTGAATTTGGCATTTCATCGAGCTGCCAGGAAGCGTCAGTAAATAAGTGCTAGGGATTGTGCATTAATCTTATTTTTGCCTTGTGATGGCAACAATGCAGCCCCCTTGAGTGCCAAATTCAAAGGAAGGGAGCAGAAAGACGCCAAAGGTATCAGTGGACAAAATTATGCTTTGTCCTGGGCAGTGTTGTTTAAGCAGGGAAAAGGGGAGAGAATCTTGCAGTCCCACAGTGACACTGTGCATCTGAAAAGCTTAATGGCTCCCCTGGCACTAGGGCAAGAATGCTGAGAATCAGCTATTGCAACATTTCTCCTAGTATCTGCCTGTTGGTGGACAGAGGGTCAAATCTAGCCCTGCTCTGCAAAGGCCCCTCTGGAGTCATTTGTTCATCTAGCACTCTCCTACCTAATGCATTGTTGGTGGAACAGCCATATTTTGGCCCCATCCTTATACTGAAGCACACTGAACCCTATTCTGCCCAGCAATCCTGATCTCCTTGCCCACAGGAGAAATGGCAACAAGGTATTTGAATGAAGATAAAGATCAGCACTGAAATTAAACCGGACGCTGATGAAGAAGGAAAACACGGTCCTTGCACTGCTTCCCTCTCTTGGGCTACCCAACCAAGTGTCCATCCTAATACATGTCATCCACTCCTTACCATCTCCCCAAATACACAAGCTAGCCACTGTGGCTCTGTTCCACCCGTCACCACTCACATCTACACATCTCACCCCGGGGTGGCTCTGCCCCTCTTCTCCTTTTGGAGCTCACCTTTTCTCCCAGTGAAAGCAGCAACTCCCTGCAAAGCCTTCTGGACTCATGGGCTCTATGCTCAATGGGCCCACGAGGAGTAGGATTTATACTCACCCTCACAGAACTAATGCTGCTAATGGTAATAATTAACAATGTAACAATAGACAAAGCACTGGACTGGGAATTAGGAGGCTTGGGTTCTGTTCATGAATTGACAGCTATGTGATCTTATACAAGTCCCTTCACTTCTGTGCTCCTATTTCCCCTCTCACGCTTTGTCTGACTTGTTTATACAGATGGTGAGCTGCTCAGGGCAGAAATTGTCTCTTGCTGTCTGCTTGTCCAGTGCCTAAAGCAACAGGATCCCAGTCAAAGGTGGGACTTCTAGGGTCTACTATAATAGGACTAACTAATAATAATAATAAATGGACTAATTACCATTCTCGTCTTCTTGAAAGACAGTCTTCCCAGTGAATACTTTGGTTCCTATTTGTATCTCCCCTGGTCGCTTGTGGGGCCCATTCAGTTTGTTGTCCTTGCATAGCTTGTTAAGGATCTCAGTCGGCTTAACTGCATCTCGCCAAGCATTATACCCTTCTCTGCAATGAGGGCAAAAAGCAAAGAGAGGAATGGAGGTTTTCTGTTCATATACAGGAGTTAAAGGCTGTAACTATTCAGAAGCTCCAATCCAAAGGTCAAAGACCACAGCAGATAGGTTTAAGCTCCCATATAGTAAATCTATCTGGATGAATTAATTTTATACAAATGAAACAAAGACAGAACTGGACATGTCCTCCGCTACTCCTTCATAGTCTCTTAGGACTATCCCATCCAATGTTCCCCACATTGTTTGCCCTCATTATCAAGGTCTAACATCACAGCCACCATCAGTTTGGTCAAGGAAGTCCGGGCAGGACTCTTATTGGAGCTGATTAGTGCTACTCCTTGATCAGGACGACAGATATTTTCTGCGGGTTGACACAAAAATTTAGAATAATAGAAACGAAGGGTTGAAAGGGACACTGAGAAGTCACCAAGTCTAGTCCCCTGCTCTGAGGCAGAACCAAAAAACCTAGACCATCCCTGACAAATATGTGTCTTGCCTCTCCTTAAAGGCCACCAATGATGGGAATTCCACAACCTCCCTTAGCAGCCTATTCCAGAACTTACCTACCCTTATAGCTAGGAAGTTTTTTCTAGTATCTAATCTAAGTTTCCCTTGTTGCAGATAGAGCCTGTTGCTTCTTGTCCTACCATCAGTGGACATGGAGAACAACTGATCACAAGTCTGATCACAAGAACAAATGGTTGTCCCTCTTCAACAGGAATTTAGTGCACTCCCTCCATAACATTCCCATCCCAGCCAGCTTCAGGAGCTGGGACCAATGTCTGGAATAGAAATAGAGTCTGGGTCTCCTTTGTACTGCTGCCAACACTTGGGACAGCAGCAAGGCCCCATAGCTATTATTTTTAATAGTGTGGCAACAGCATCTGGCCACAGGCATAGATCATAGAGGACACACAATATGGACGTGGACACACACACTAGGGCTGCTCATGCGAGCTCGCTAAAATTAGCAGTGTAGTTGAGGGTCACGTGGACGGGTCATCTTGAGCTAGCTGTCTAAGTACAAACTTGCCCAGTCTCCTTGATAGCCTGCCTGAGCTGCCACTCATTCTATTGTGTTTCTACACTGCTATTTTTAACCTATGCGGCCCTTAGATTATGTCTACATTTTGAGCTAGAAATATAAATCTCAGCTCCAGGAGATAGACCAGTGCTCACTCTGAGCGAGTGAGCATGTGAAAAACAGAAATGTAGCTGCACTAGAGTGAGCAGCAGGAGGGGCTAGCTGCCTCAAATATGATCCTGTCAAAAATGCCAGGCATGGACTCAGGAACTAATTCCTCCCACTGCTTGCACCATCAGGGTGATGTGTTTTTTTAGCATGCCAGCTTAATCAGAGCTAGGGCAGCTATGTCTTCTGGAGATGGAATTGACATTTGCAATCTGAAGTGCAGATGTACCCTTTGACTCCTAAGTAACTTTTGAAAATGGGACCTAGGCACTTTAGAAAATGTTGTCCAATATCTTCTATATATCAAGTATAATGAAATGCTACCGATTGTCACAATGATTAGTTCTAGGGCTTGAGCCACTATCTGTGACACTGTTATTTCCCTTTTGTAATTCAATTGACTTTAATGGAGTCACAAAGCAGAGAATCAACCCCTCCCCCACCCCCAGAGTTAAGAGGTTATGGAAGTTATGCAGCCAAGCAGTATTCCAGTTTATTCTGATTAATTAACCAACACGTATTTCAGACTCTGTGCTTGAAACTCCATTCTCAAGAACAAAATAACAAATTCCAAGTACTGCACAATGTACCTGCTAAAGTAACAAGGCAGCTAGATTATTAGAATGAGAATCGAAACATTTATGGTTATAAAAAAAACCTGTATAGAAAATAGAAAAAAGGGTCTGTGCAGGCATCAAACTGAAATAAAATGTCAAATGTCAAGAACTCGTCTTACCAATTTATTATGCAGCTTAAAATGACCCACACATTTTAGCATATTAACAGAAGTGCTGCAAGCAGGCACATCTAAGGCTAGATCATTAGCCAGTGTAAATCCATTAAAAATCAATTTACACTAGGTGAAAATATGACCAGAAGTGTTAATGCAGTGCAAGCATTTCACATTTCTTATCCTTGTAAGGGGAAAAAAAGGCAAAATTCACAGAGGAATAGACATGGGGAAGCATTGGCATGTGGCTACAGAGACATGTTTACTAAGTACAGATATAGACCAAGCCAAAGCCAGTGAGGATTTCTCTTTTCAGCTGGCTGAAACTAGAAACCAATCAATCTGTGATCAGAAACTATGGGACAGCAATCACTGGAGTCAATGGACACTGAAATTCTGGGCTTGCCTACACAGTGGGGTAATGGAGTCTACAGGGGTGTGATTTTTAAGGCATACTGATGTTGGTGTGCATTGACTGGTGTGCATGCTTGGAGCCACTGAACCAAACTGTTAATCCTGTGTATGATGGAAACTCGTACGGCAGCTCCCTATCACCCCTATCCAGCATCTGTGTGTAGATCTTGCTGGTACACACTATAGGTTCTTTAGTGCATTTTAACGTGGTACTGTTTTAAACAGCGCTACATTAAAGTGCACCAGCAAGGTCTACATGGATCAGTTAATGCACAACACATTACAGGTTCACCCTCCCTGGTCTGGCACCCTCAGGATTTAATCGGTCTCGAATGAGGGATTTTGCTAGACTAGGGGAGGTTATTTCTGGCCCACCAGTCCCTAGTCCCCCAACCTGGCTCTGCTCCTAGCCCATCCGCTGGCCTCCCAGACAGCTCCCCCTGCCCCACTGTTGTCAGCCCAGCTGGGTTCAAGGCCACAGCAGAGCTGTTGGCTCCCTGCTGCTGGCCTCCCTGATGACTCCCCCACTACCCCTGACCTGCTGCCATGCCAGCCCTGCCAACCTCTCTGGCTCCTGGTCCAGAAGGTTAGACTCCTGGCCCTGCATCAGCCTGCTGCCTCACCAGCCGCCCTGCCACTATCCAAGCTGGACTCCCGCAGCAGGGCTCCCAGCTGCCTGCTCCCCGCCAGCCAGCCTGGCTGGGCTCCCAGATCCCACAGGGTTCTGGCTGCCAGCCCTGCCAGGAATAGTTGCCAGACCAGAGAGTCCCGGCTTAGAAAGGTTCAACCTGTAGTGCTCTTAGAAGTCACATCTTTGTAGAGCACATCACCCCAGTGTTTAAACAAACCCCTACACACAGGACAGGAATTTTATACTTTAAATCCTGGCCCTGATCTAGTGACTAGGACCAGGAAATACAATTCAGTCTCTGATCAATACTCCTGTGACTCACCTTTACTACCCACTATCTCCAGAATCTACAGCCAAATTCTGTTCTCACTGACATATGTGAAAATCTGGAGAAATTCCAGTAGCTTCAAAGCAGTTACTTTGGATTTTCACATGTGTAACTGAGAGCAGAATTTGGCCTTACATCTGTTGCACAGCCACCTCAGACTGAAATTTTTATTTACCCTTTAAGTCAGTAAAACTTCCGATTGATGTTCCTCAAAGATGCTTAAATATAGAGTATTCTATCTGGAACTAATTTGTGAGTAAGTAGGGCTGTTGGTTTTAAACATACTAACTTCCTACTGACACAACAATTCAGTTTTAACAAAATCTAAACAACTCAAAGGCTGAAAAAAAGCACAATATTTGGGTAGAACAGTTTTCATCAAGAAGCAGGTTGCTTATTTCTTTGTATGCACAAACCGAATGTCTGAAGGAGATCTTACTTTTCATATTGACTTTGTAGACCACAAGTAGCACGGTGCCTGCTGTAGAAACGATTTTCCAAATCAATTTTAGTTTCTCCAATGAGGTCATCGGCTCCAACCAAGTCATGGTCATAGATCAGGACAGAGAGCATAGATTCCTTAGGGAATGTAGCCTGGATTTCAAATGATCTAAGGCAAAAATTGATAAGATTTTTCAGACAAATTATTTTTAAAAGCTAAAAGCGTCAGTCAAATAGGTATAGAAAATGCACAGTATACCGTTATCAGTTGTTGTACTTTGTGAATATAATTATTATATTTCTGTCTACCTGGATAGATGTGGTTTCTCATATAAATATCACTGATGAGACAATAATTTGGGAATACTTTATCATGTTCAGCATAGTAAACACATGTAGCAAGTGAAAAAATGTAACATTTTATAACTGATTAAAAATTCTCTACTTTTGCCTGCTTAGATTTTGGGGTGCCCAATTTTAGACCCCTTTGAAATAAAGACACAGTCAGATGCCAGATGAAGTCAATAGGAGCTGTTGGTTCCCAGCACCTCTGCAAAGTAGACCATACTCGCAAGAGTGTCAAATCTGGCCCCAACTGTGAGTGCAGAGCACCTGAAAATCTAGTCTTGAGCACTCCTGAAAAGTGTCCAAAGTAAGGCACACAAAAATTGACTGGCACATAATCAAAGGCTACTTTTGAAAACTGGGCTCTGGGTTGGTTCTAGAAGTCTGAGAATGTTTTATAGTGATATTCAGATTTAAAAACACTAGCACAAATTTTGGAAATCAAGTTTAACCATCACTGGATCCATTTCACTTTAAGCCTAATTAATCGCCTCATTAATCTGAGAGGACAAGATAATTTGATGCATCAGTTCTTTTGAAATAAAAAGCCTTCTGCAGATTGAATTTCAGGGTGTGTTTTACTAGCATAAAAATTGAATAATTTTTAATCACACAATGTGACACAAATTCTTACAAGTTTAATTATAAAACATCCAAACACACATAACATTGTAAAGGCAGAAATCATCATGAATATTTACATAAAGCTATCACTCACCTTCCAAAAACTGGGTTTAGTTGTTTGGGGATGTAATTGGCTTGGTCTTTAATTTCAGTTTTGCCTAGTCTGAGCACAATATAGGGGTCTGAGGTGCCCTCTGGATCAGCTGGACTAAGATTATAGGCCTGATAAAAAGAAAAGACTGTTTCATAAAAATCCAAATGCTTGGCTAAAGGCAATAATTCGATGAGATGGTTTTCTAATGGAGTTGTTTTTTGATGGGTGCATGGAACATTCTGGAAACAATAAATGCTAAGCTAGTCCTTTCTACTAAAATATGAAGAGACACTGAGAAAGAAATGGTTGGAGATTGCTTAGGGGCTAAGTGCAGAGTTGAAGAGAGCAGCCAGAATAGTCCCTGCCACAGTTGCTGATCAGAATGGAATGGGTGAGAGGAAGAGAAAGTTTCACGAGGCATACCTGTGCCGATCAAGAAAGGCTTCTTTGTCGACGCGGCGCGTCCAGACTGCCCCGATCTGCCGACAAACAGCTGATCGGCAGAGCGGGGCAGCCATTTAAATTTAAATGAAGCCGCGATTATTTTAATCGCAGCTTCATTTCCCTCTGCCGATCTGTCTAATCTACATGCCTCCGTCGACGGAGGCATGTAGTCTAGACACACCCTAACAGAGTTTAAAGAGAAGCTAGATAATTTCATTGAGGTTAGGTCCAAAAAGACTATTAGCCAGGAGATAGAAATGGTGTCCCTGGCCTCTGTTTGTCAGAGGCTGGAGAAGGATGGCACGAGACAAATCGCTTGATCATTGTCTTCGGTCCACCCTCTCTGGGGCAGCTGGTGCTGGCCACTGTCAGCAGACAGGCTACTGGGCTAGATGGACCTTTGGTCTGACCCAGTACGGCCATTCTTATGTTCTTATGATTTATTTTCTGCTTCTCTCATTTTCTCACTAATACCTAGCTCTCTCCTCTGACTTAGCAATGTCCAACCATGCTTCTTCAGTATTTGACTTCCTAATTCCTGCCACCTGTTCTTTCAAGTTCATCATTCACACTCCTACTCTTTTGCTTTTTCTTCAAGTTATATTCTCCCATTCTTTCCTTCTCCTAAACGTGTTCTTCTATTTTTGTCCCTTTCTCTCTATGATCATTCCAAAGTAGCCCCTAGAGTTCTAAGTTCCATTCCAAGTAGCCTCTTTCGCTAGTCAACTTGCATTTTTGTTTACAATGAGAAGTCCTTAGGCGCTGTAGATTATTGATTTCTAATATGTGAATGAGGCTTTTCAGAAGCTACACTATGTAGAAACTAAAGAAAAATAAGTCTGACATACAAATCCTCCATTATTTCAAGGTAGAAACAGAAGCGGTGCACTTACCCTCACAATATACACTCTAACCAGAACTTGGACCGAGTTATTCGGTGGTATCCCCTGCAGAACTTTAGGTTGTCCTCCATCCATTGAACTGGAATCTTCAGGACTTTTGTAAATGCAGAAAGAGCCCTGTGGACATATAATGTTTTATTTCCCTGGAAAAAACAACAAACCCAATCAAAAAAAAAAAAAAAAAGTCCTGGTCCATAGACATTTCCTCACAAATGCAATCTGTACAGGCACATCCACATTTTTTCACAAAGGAAAAACATTTAATAAGTGACCAAATCATGCTTCTGAAAATATTTCTGATGTTTTGTTAGCTTTCCAAAGCACTTCCTTTCAATAACTGTATTTAATCTTGTCAAAACATTCCCAGAAATAACTGCAAACTCCTAGTCACAGCAATATTACATAAGTAAATGCAACAGCTGTGGCTATTGCCATCTTCCAGACACCAATCTAAGGGTCACCATTTTGCTCTGAATCACACCTGTGTAAATTAAGAGTCATTACTGGCTTAAATGGAATTCTATTTGCAGCTTTGTGAGTGAGAACACCATGCCTCTAGCTATGCAGTAAAAATTTCAGCCCCCATGTATGCCACAGTATTAACTCATCTTACTTAAATAACCATTATTACCTAAAAGCAATTAGCAAGTCATTTTTAACAGAGATTTGCCTCATAGAGAAAGAATAATCAACAGGGTTCTTTAAGTCACTAATTCCTCTGAAGTATAAAATAAATCATTTTTAGATCACACAACTATTATATTAATTGTGCTTTGCAGATACTTGCATATTCTCATATGGTAAGTTGCATTGTGTTGTGGAAGGGAGGAGTGTAGAAGGCCTATTATTTAAGCTAGATTAAATAAAGTACCAGAAATCTTACTGAAGAAGTAAACTTGCATGAGCAGAGAGGCTGGACTGCATAACATAATAGGTCAGTTCTGGCTCTAATAATTATGAATCTGTGATTTAACTCAGCTTTGTTGTTATAAATCAATATCCTGATTAAAAAAGATAGTAAACATTGTGGTCTGGAAACTGCCTCTGTCAGTCAGATAACAGGAGAGAATAAATAGCAATCCTCCTTTGTTACAGATGGTTGCTTTGGATCTAACAGGAGAATTAATGATGTTAATAGCAGATGGCCAGTGTAATTGAAACTCATTTTCTGTACACCTGGAACGTCACTGAAAATATGCATTTCTCTATATTACCGTGTATCTAGTCAGCATTGAAACTCACCTTAAATTTTCCTATTATTCTGTCCTCATAGTCACTGTGATCTTCATCAGTGGCTTTGCCTCTGAAAAGGTCAAAGGTTTTCACCCAGTCTTCAAAGTTATTAAATTCACTCTCCAAGTCTCCATCATAGATCTTTGAAAAAGGGATTATGCTCATTTCACAAGACACAGCAGAGGAAACAGCGCCACTGTTGCATTAACTGGTGATGTAAAATTCAGCTCTGACTCGGTGTTAAGGTTTTATAAAATCAAGTGCTCGTAAAACCTTTTGGTGACCAACAGAAAAATATCCCATTTCCCACCAGGGAAGATAATTTATAAGAAATTCGTCTCTGGGGTAGAAACCCAAATACTGTAGCATTTTATTAATGCATAAGAATCTGAAAGCAAGATGGATAAGAAAAGGTGCTGGGGGCAATCTTATCTAGATAGATAGAGAGATTAGATTGCCTAAAAAAAGATCTTTACCATCTTCTCTAACTTCTACAGCATGGCTCTATGTGAAATCAAAAATAAACAAAAGGGAAATGACTATCTAAATTTCTTCTCCAAATGGAGACTTTTCCATTCAAAAATGGAAGCAAACCATCTCATTGATTTGTATATTGGTTTTCTATCCCTTTTTATTCAGTGTCTCTCTCTAAACAGACCAAATCTTTTCCACCCCTTCACATGTCTTGTCTCCAATCATTTCCCATGGCGAGGGAATGGAGAAAGGAAGACTCAGCATCGCAGGGGTTAAAGAAAGCCTCTGAGCCCAGCTAGGCCCATCCCACTTTACCTGCAACCAGGCCTGGAGGAAGGAGAAAAGAAAGGAGCCTGGCTCAGTTTGGGGCTGACTAGCAAGGAGGCAGGAGTTTGGTTTGTTGATCTGAGGGCACAAACCAGAATCTGCCCATCTAGCAGCCATAGGAGCAAGTAAGCCCCCATCCCAACTCCTTGAGGAAAAAAGAGGGGAACCTATTGAGAAGCCCCTACTAAAAGGAATCTGGACTCTTGGGGCCATGCCCCAAACTTAAGGACTTGAATAGGGAGTGGTTCAGAGTTCTTGGGCCAGAAACCCAGGGGAGCTAGGGGCCAGTGTTCTTCCCCACTTTTACATCCACCTATTCAGCAATCAAGACACTGGGCTTTGCAGCCTCCAGGGACCAGCCACACCATGTCATCTTTTCTTTGACTTTCTAGATCTGAATCCTTCCCATGCCACTCATGTCTGGAGTGTCAACAAGGCTCCTCACTTCCTGTCTGTAATGCTGAATGCTGGAATGTTTACCTTGCTGTGTTTCTATAGCTTAACTTTCCTATGAGGATAAGATGTTGGTCTGTCACAACTCCTAACCTGCAGGCCTAGTGGACTCCTTTGCATCTGATCCCTGCCCTTTAACCTGTCCAGCTTGGGTATCAGAAGTAAAAAAAACTTCCACTAGTGTAGTTCTCAGGGTCATTGGCACACACAACCCTTCCCCCTGAGTCAAGCTGCAGTCATCAGGAAAGACACTCTGCTGTCATTCCACCTTTAATAAGATACAGTCACCAGACTCATACTTGTATTTCTAGTGAGGATCTACTGTCATTATATCAAATCCTTTCAGCATTAATGTCTATCCCCTTCTTTATACACCCTAACATTTCTGAAATTCCTTGTCATCTGTTCTCCTAGTAGCCACATTTCTTTGCTTTCATTAATATAAAAAGATATTTTAAACATAAACAGTCAGATAATAAATGCATAAGTTTTAAGTGTGCTTTGTCATGATGATAAAGCGCATACATGTATGTGATTAACTGTACTTCAGGTGCAATAAGAGAAGAAAGGGAAAGGAAAAGAGACTGTGATTTTAATATTTATAGTATATGCCACAAAGGTGAAATTCACCCCTGTGCAGAGAGGCAGCACAAGAAGTAAGCCAGCCCTGCTCAAGTCTCACTTAGGGCAAGCTCTCTGCCCAACAGTGAATTTTGCCCAACACAAATAACCAGACTTACAACAACAAAGCATTTTTTACCTTCAAAGTTGCTAAATTTGGTTCGTCTTCCTTTTTTTCCTCTTTGAACAACTTTTTTCGCTTCTTCTTGTCTGGTTCCTCTTCAATTACTAATGATACATGGCCAGATGTCTGCCTCGCTAGAGAGATTAAATGACATCATTTAGATTTAAAGAAGCTGCAGTGATGGATATACTTCTAATGGCTTAGATAAGTCCTTAACATAAATCTGAGGTTCTTACTCCCTTTCCTCTCCTCCTTTATACTTCTCTTGCCCTTTCTCCTGCCAACCCAGTCAGAGACTCCTCTCCTACAACTGAACTCACCTGATACAGCATTACTCCTCTCATTCTTTTCCCTATCAAACCCCTCCCCTCCCCACATATAGATACCACTATTCTTTCTCATTTTCCCTCAATCATCCCAACAGATCCTAATACCTTTCCAAATGTGAAAAATTTGAGGTGAGGTCTTATCAAGATTGAACACCATTGCCAAGATGCCTACTGCCTTCAGATCTTATATGGACCAAGCCTTCCTCAGGTCAAAGACACCAAAAATGCCTCTAACTTTAGGAAAGCCATGGAGAGTAGGAGCTATAAAAACAGCAACTTACTCTGCAGAAACTGCCTACCCGGTTGACACTTTTCCATTGATTTTGACATATATCAACAAACGCAGGAGATGCTTGTGGGATCTTACTTAATTATTTATCCAAACCTTCAGAAAATTATTCAGGTTTATTTTTTGGTTGAAGTGAGTATCAGTCCTTTCAAAAGCGACGAGGAGTCCTGTGGCACCTTATAGACTAACTGAAGTGTAGGAGCATAAGCTTTCGTGGGCAAAGACCCACTTCGTCAGATGCATGTCACATGCATCTGACGAAGTGGGTCTTTGCCCACGAAAGCTTATGCTCCTACACTTCAGTTAGTCTATAAGGTGCCACAGGACTCCTCGTCGCTTTTGCAGATTCAGACTAACACGGCTACCCCTTCAGTCCTTTCAATTTATTAAAATAATTAATCTCTCTCTCAATAGATATGTATCTATTTCTTTCCCTCTCTCCCTTCCAATCACCTTAGTATTTAGGCAATGATATAGAACATATACAAAAATTCCAAGAGCCTTTTTCAGTCTGCCTGGTCAAAAATAATGGAAAATCCTAGCACAGGGGTTGGTAACATAAGGCACTCGTGCCATAAGCGGCATGTGAGCTGATTTTGAGTAGCACACGGGCCTGCGTGGCTGGTGGCTGCCTCGTGTGCTGCAGCTGGGACTGGGTTGTGGTGAGACTGTCCCTGCGGAGGCAACCTCACCCCGGCCCTGATTCCCACTCCGCAGCAGCCATGCGGCCCAACTGGTAAGGCTGTGCAGCTGTCTCTGGGGGCTGGGGCTGCTCCAGGAGTGGCTAAGCCACGTGTGGGAGTGGGGCACCACCGAGCCAGCTGCTGGGATAAGCTGGAGCTGGGGTGCAGCGGCCACAGGGAGGAGAGGAGCTTGCCATGGACCTTGCCACCATCACGGCTGAATACCCCGGGGTCACCCATCCGCCCACCTCCACCTTGCCCATTTCCCTGGACCCCACTCTCCCAGCCACCATGACCCCAGCCCACATTGGTGATCCAATATTGCACACCCCCTGCAAGATTGGAGCCAGCACCCAGCTTCCTGCGGAAGGGAGCACTGAGGCTCTGCACTGCATCTGGATTCCAGGGAAGTACGTGTGCGCTGCTCCTTCCCTCCCCACAGGAAAAGCCTGAGCAGAGCCCAGAGCAGGAGACTAAGCAGGGTGCAAGGTGGAGAGAGCCCCTCCCGGTAGAGCAGCGCAGGCGGGTTAAATCTTGGTGTGCCACTTCAAAAAGGTTGCCAACCCCTGTCCTAGAATAATTGTCACCAGTAACATTTGTAGAAGTCTATCTATGTTAAGGCGTTTTTCAAGACTATCACTGTATGTGGATATGTCCTCAAAACTTTCTATAAAGTTTCTTTTAGGTGGCTAGGTATAGTCCATGCATCAATAGAATTTTGACTGCTAACTGAAATTTTGGTCTGCTGCCACATTCAAAATGATAATGACTGACATTTATGTGGTGCCTTTCATCCAGAATGGTTGAAAAATGCTTTGCCAACTAGAAATCATTTCCACCTCTAGTAAAATATAGCCACCATAGGATGGGAAAAGCCATCACTTTTAGTGTGAAGTGCAAGTCTACATAGGCATTACAAATATTTATTTCCTTTCTCTGCCTAGAAATAGTCGAGTTAGGAAAACGATCGGCTAAAGGTATGGACCCAAAATTTAAAGAGGCTCATTTTTGGATGGGATATAGATGTAGATTATTATGGTAGTAATCTTTCTATAACATCTAACATTGTAAGATTTCCATACTTTTGAGACTGAAATTTACAAAGAATTGCTCATGCAATTTGAACATTGTTAAACCCAATCCTCCAAATCAGTTTTGTATCTCAAAAATCTAATTCAGATATAGATTAAGATCTGAACACTGCCCCTTTCACAATTTTAGAAAAAACAGACAGTGACTATAAACAGCATAAAAATGTTCTTGAATTAGCACAGAACAAGGAATTATAGTTAGTAAACATGTACATATACAAATATTTTACTCACTGTTGTCTGGTTTCTCCTCATTGGGATACATTGCTGTTACCTTTCAAAAGAAAAACAGAATGGTCAGACTCCTAAATATAAATGGAACACTAAAAATGAAGCCACTTTGCATAAATCTAATTTTTAAATACCACACATCTATTTAAGTATGGGGCTTCTGGGGCCTTTACCTTTTTCATTTTTTCCACAGAAGCATCATACTTTGACCACCAATCAATAACATTTTCCGCAGATTCATCTGCTATTGTTCTCTTTTTTCTTTTTGTGGATCGCCGGGTGGATTTTCTTGAGTCCTAGCAAAGTATAAGGAAATATTGTTGGACTGTAGTATTATCACAGCTATTAAAAACCAGCTTAGCTATTCAAGTGAACAGATGTAAGTGGAATGGATTTTACTCTTTGAGAAGCACATTATTTTGTTTCTCTGTCTTTATATCCTATTAGAGAATCTATTGGGATCCTCCAGTTATTAGCCTTCTGCTGGTATCTAATATTACAATTTTAAAATTTGGGACATTACAACAAGAGCAAGCTATTTAAAAGGAAGATCTACCTTAGAAAGAATTACTATATTCGGAAGAATACAGACATCCTGATACCCTTGGTTCCCGCCAATATCACTGCATTTGCTGATACATTCGGAACTTTCAATATTATCAGCAATTGAGTTTTGAAGACAACTAAGACTCTGAATAGTCACCAAGAATTCAGTCATTTTGCCCTTCGAAAAGATAAAGAGTCTGATCCCACAAACCAACTACTTATGCAAGTAGGTCCAGTGACATTAATGGGATTACTCATGTGAACAATGACTGAACCCTGTTAAATTGTGCATTCAGCCTTTCACACTAATAAAGAATTGACACTTGTAGCTGACATGTATTTAGCAGTGCTGCTACAAATAGAATGGCAGCAAAGATAATCTGTATTAGACACAGTTACAATACTGGCTGTGTCTGTGGATGAGTCCTTTGCAATGCATGGGTACAAGAGTGAGGGAAATATAGCATTGTTACAGATGTGTACATGTTGTAGAGGTGAGACATGACTGCCTTTCCTTGTCCTTCAAACTGTGAAGAACATTGGCAACATCTAACTACCAGTGCATCCAATGGCTGCAGGAAAGAAGTGGCTACTTTATCCCAATCCAGAAAGTGTAGCTGAAATGGAGCACAATGTCAAACAGTTTTGGCATTCCCTCCATTTTATTTTTAAGACAGAAAGAAAGACAGAAATAAATTAGTTCCCCGTCTAAAAAGTGATAGTTTATAGAGCTGATCAGCTGCATAGGAACTAGAATATATTCTGCCAGTCATGCTGACCAATATTGTTTCATTATTCTTTCTCCATCTGTCTGTATGCACTTGTTGTATATTGTCTTATATGTCGATTGTAACGTTTTTGACACTGGGACTTTTTTTGTCTGTTTGTACAGCATCTAGCACAATGGGGTCCTGGCTTCTGTCTACGGTTCCTTATTATTATTAACAGCTAGCAGATAAGTTTAAGCTAAGTTCACCTTCTGCTTTGCATCTTTTGCTGGTTCAGAGGATGAAGATGTAGATTTATGTGCAGGTAGCAATGAAGAAGTAGGTCCAGCTTCTGCAGCAACAGATTTTGCTGGAACTGGTTCTTGCATTGTTAATGCAGCTGTACCATGCTCTACAGCAACATAAATGTGCTCTGCTGAATATGGTTGTGGTTCAGGTGACGCAGGCAGTTGAGGTGACTCCGGAGAAGCTGAAACTAGAAACATAGCAAGTTGGTAAGAACATGCAGAAAAAAAAAAAACCCAAAAGACAGTCATCCTGTTTGGGTCTCAAGACAATATGAATAATGATCTCTCTTAAAAGTCACACAGGGCTTGATCCTGCAAAGTCCTGAGCCCTCCAGCTCCAGTCCAGTAGATTCCTTAAGCATGTTGTTATTCCCACTGCAATAAGCTATTATCATCTGCTGTTTTAACAGATATTACCTTGTCATTGTACTTGGGGATAAGAGTGATACTGAGTGTTTACCTTGGTCAGTTTCTATAGTGTCCACTGTTGCTGTAGGAGCAGGAAGCTCCGGTGGTTTATATAAATATTGCTTAAGGCAATTGATGGTGTGTGTTCCAACAAGAGTGCTACGGCCAAAAGCTCTCCAGTCAACCACGCAGATGCTGAGTGGTGGATGCAAAAGCTCATTTTCAGGCAATTCCTGGAAGAAAAGAAAAAAGAGCAGCATGAGAGATTTGTTTGCCTCACTAGTGTCCAGAAAAATGTCCTGAAGTGCTGATTCGAGCACCCCGACTCCTGGGGTTCTTTATCCATCAAACAGGGAGAGCATGGGCAGTGAAGTTCTGTCCACACTGCCCTGCCAACCCCACCTAGAAAAGCAACCTGGCTGGTAGGAAAGCTGCTAAAAATGTGTCAGGGAAAACAGAAAAGTCTAGAGGAATCAAGGCAGCATCGGAAATCAGGAAATTTATGAGTTCTAATGACCTCTCTTATCAGTGACTTAGCCAAAGTAATTTCATTTGACTGCCTCAGTTTACCAGCTGTAAAAGGCAATAATTTACAGGGATATAGTGGGGATTAACTAGGGAGTCTCAGTTTGAATACGTAAAGTGCGATAAAAATTAAATACACCACAGGTATTTTGATATTATTACTGGTGCTCAGATGCCATTGTGCCTTATAAAAGCTTAGACAGACTTATTTCTGTTGATGTTGCCAGTTAGTACAAATCCTCATCCACAGAGCCCTGAATTAAAATGACACTTCATTTTGCAGGAAGCTTCAAAGTACTACTGGCCAGGGCCAAATTCCTATCAACAACCTAGCAGTTAAAGGCACAAAGCTCTTGGGTCATAAGATTTTATCAGGGTTATTTTTAGTAAAAGCCAAAGACAGATCACAGGCAATAAACAAGAATTCACAGAAAGCTGATCTCCGCTGTAGAGGGGGCTGACAGCCTGAGTTTTCCACTGCCCAAGGCTGACAGCCAAAGCCTCAACATCACAGAGGCCATGAAAAATCACGGAAGCTGTGACCTCGGTGACAGACTTGTGGCTTTAGTCATAACCTATCCAGCACTTAAGCTGCCCGGCCTGGCAACAGCACAACTGTGCTGAAAAAGTAAAGAAAATCAAACTTTGCTATAGCTTGTGCCTTCCGCTGAGCCAAAAGAAGACCATGAAAGAGAGCAGCACTGCATGGTACACACCACTTCAAACCTGTCTGTTTGGACACTGAAGTTGGGATTGTTCTTGAAGCTCTGGATGACCGATGATTTAACTCCTTTTCCAGCACATTCGATGAGAACCTGTGGGCGGTCTACGGAGAGAAGCTGGACCTTCTTCAGCTCCCGAACACCCCAGAACAGAACCTATGGCAGGTGGAAGAAAAGCGGTCAGCAAAACATAGGCAGGAGTGGGCCAGACTTACTCACAATCTCCTCACAGTAATACACAGGTAACACCAGGAGTCATTGACCAGATTCACCAGTATGCTCCTGCCACTTTGTGCCATTCAGATGATGCACATCTGCCAGAAAGAGCGGCTGAATCTGGCCCCACTTATCTGCATGAAATTGTTCTAACCACCTGTCAGTGTCTGAATTAAAAAAAAAAGACCTCATATCTTTGAGCTGAACATTGGGAAAATTAAAAACATTAAACCACTAACAAGACATAATCAGTAAATACTGATTTTATTTTTAACAATTCCCTCATCTGCAGGACAAACATGAGTCCCTATTAATCAGAAAGGCCAGATTCTCTGCTATTGCCTACAACAGAGCTACATCCTTTTTTACCAGTTGAGGAAACAGCCCATGGTATTTTTCCAGGATTATTATTTCCCTTGTATGTTTTATGTTTTGATTTACTGCATTCCCGTCCTAGAATTCACGTGGAATTCCAAGTTTTCTAGCACACAGGTACTTATTAGCAATACAGTTATTTATGCTCTCACTTTAGAAAATAGCATTAAAATGACAATAATTACGGCAATATAAATTACAATGCCAAATCATTCAGGAGTCGACAATAGGTAATGTCTTGACTGAGCAATATTTAAGCACACTCCTGAGTATAAGAACATGATTTGTCCCATTGATATACATGGAATTCATGTGATTAAAGTTAAGCATATGCTTAATTAATTCCGGCCTAAAACAAAAAGCATATTTTTAAAAAGATTTTTCCCTTTGTCCAGTGAACAGTTGTTTCTCTTCCTATTTACCTTTGAAACAATTTGACTTTTTGATCTCTCTCCCCTTCTTCCCCATGCTTGATCCCTCTCCCCTCCTTCCCCATGCTTGAGTTCACACCCAATGCTTGAGTTCACACCCAAGCATTTCTGGTGACTGGCTCCTCAGCCTCAGCACAGTTCATATAATTAAAAATCTGTCATGAATTAGGAATCATCAAAGACAGGCAATTAAACACATTATGTGTAAGTACAGGACCAGCAATAGGAAGTGACACAAGATGGCCGGTTAGAATTCAGTCATTATTCTGACAAATGGGGAGTTGCCAGTGCTCCCTTACATTCTATAGAATGAAGTGACGTTTGGCCAAATTGCAGCTGCTGTTCACAGGGGGCATGTGAGGGGTTGGGGAGAAAGCAAACTACATGCAGGAGGCAGCCATCATTTGGCTGCAAGTTTTGGGAGCAGAGGAGGGGTGGCTAATCTTTAGCCACTAGCAACACTAGTTTTGGTGGAGTGGGGTAGGACTATACCCATCTGCCTCCATCCAATGCTGAAGGGGAATGAAAGAAGGCCAAGCCATGACCTAATTGTTCATACAAGCATCTTCCATACTCATGTGCTGTGACTAGAAAGACTGGTTGCTTATACTACAGTAACTGCAGTTCTATGGGTACTCTGATCAAGGTGTGCATATGCTCCACACACCTGGGACCAGAACATATAAGAATGGCCATACTGAGTCAGACCAAAGGTCCATCCAGCCTGGTATCCTGTCTTCTGACTGGCCAATGCCAGGTTCCCGAAAGGGAATGAACAGAACAGATAAGCATCTAGGGTGTGTCTAGACTACAGTGTTTTTTCAAAAAAAATGTCACCTGCGTCTAGACTGCTGCCGCGTTCATTTAAAATTAAATCAAAAGAACGTGGCAGTTTTTTTGACGGCGAAAAACCTCATTTTAGGAGGAATAACGCCTTTTTTATAAAGTGCTCTTTCGAAAAAAGGTGTTATTGAATGCAAACAGGGCTTTTTCGAAAGAGAGCATCCAGACTTTGCTTTTTCGAAAGAAGTGGTTGCAGTCTAGATGCTCTCTTTCGAAAGAGGCTTGTAGTCTAGACGTACCTCTAGAGTGCCTATACACTGCACCATTATTTCGAGATAACTAGCATTATTTTGAAATAACAATGTGAGCATCTACACAGCTATGCCATTATTTCCAAATAATTTCAAAATAATGGACATCTTATTCCAAAATCTGTAAACCTCATTCTACAAGGAATAATGCCTATTCCAAAATAGCTATTTCGAAATAAGGCATGTGTAGATGCTCCACTGCTGCTATTTCAAAATAGCCCCTCACCAGGGTCACTCTAAGTTATTCCTCTCCAGTGCCTCCTGGGCCTCTAAATTGAGATAGCACGTCTACATTAGGGAAGTCTGCCTTGGACTAATTTTGAGGCTTCGCTGCACTGTAGATGTGCTATTTCAAAATAAGCTATTTTGGAATAACTATTCCAGAATAGCTTATTTCGAAATAAGCGTGCACTGTAGACATAACCCTAGTGATCCATTCCCCTGTCGCCTATTATTAGCTTCTGACAAACAGAGATTAGAGATAGCATTCCCGCCCACCATGGCTAATAGCCATAGATAGACTTATCCTTCATGAATTTATCTAGCTCTTAGATTTTTTCATTAGCAGTGTCCTTTAGTCCACGCCTGTGCCTCTCTCCCCCTCGTGCTCTGAACCTAGGATGGACAGGGTGGTGCACACTGATCACTACTCCAGCTCCTTTTCTACCATGAATAACCATGCATCAAGGATCCAAAGCGGAGGAGGAGGAGGGAAAATGGCAGAATCACATAAATTGAAGAACTGCAATTACTGTACAATATAAATAGCCAATTGTTCTACACTGAATGATGGTCCCTGGGTTTGTTCCACTCGAGCGACTCTGAGGCAGTATGCATTAGAAAGGAATGGTGAGGAACTCTGCTGTACTACAGCTCAGAAGACGGTTGTGCTGACCTAGGCATAATATCTTCCAAATGAATGTACAGAGACCCACATTGCCTCTCCATGGATCTCCATGGATGCATCTTCTGCAGAAGCCTGTACCTAGGCATAATATCTTCCAAATGAACGTACCCACATTGCCTCTCCATGGATCTCCAGAAGAGGAACATTTCAAAGGGGAGTTACTAATGCAACCTGGGCTCTCACACCTTGTGAAGAGGGGTTTCTGCCAACTCATGGCAACTCATAGCAAAGCAGGATGCAGCCTTATAGGGTAAACTGAGGCAGTCCATGGTATTTCACTAAGAACCTATATTCAAATTCTGAAGACCTGTATAGGCCTCTAACCTCAAAACCTGTAAACTAGTTAGCCTGAGTAGAGGGCCCTTGGGAAGGCACAGTCACCCTAGCAACCACATTCCAAGGGGCCACACCCGCTGATACCAAAACAACCTTACTTACATGTTTTGCTTTAATCTTAGATAATGGGCCCATAAAGTCATAGATCACATCAGCGTGAGGCGCCATCACAGATCTATCATAATTTAACTAGACAAAGTTGCCATTTAATTGGTTGTTGATGTTGGCTTATTTAGGTTGTTAAGGAAAACTACCTGTATTAGTGATAAGGTGTTTAATTCATGATGGTTGAAGATGCTATGTAATTTTTCTTAGTTTATCGGCTTATGTGCTCAATTCGTCTTTCTGCTAGAACTTATCGAATTGCTTCCCCTCCATCCATCAGCCCCCTATATAATGTACTGTAATGTTGTTCTTAGGCAGCGTTCGCCAGCCTAATGAGCTGAGGGACACATCACCAGCGCTGCGTGTAATAAATCCTCTTGCCTGTTTTCACCGCATGCAGGGTGTCCAGACTTATTTCCAACAAGCCTGAAATCCATTAAAGAAAGCCTCTGTGTGGAGACAGCCTTTCTAGTTATATATTTGGCAAAAGAGACAAATAGTTTGGAAGGTTTCCTGAAGGATTATGTTTTCCTCAAGCAGAAGGTCAAGGCTGATTTCCAGTCCTCTGCTGGCTTGGGGCTTCCTTGTACTGAGTGGCCAATGGTGTGGTGGACCAATCATAGTGGGCACATGTGGCCACGCCTCCTCTTCTCTGCTGTGCATGCTCCAGGTGGAAAACAGACAAAAAGAAGCAGCCCAGCTCAGGTAATGAGGTCTTGGATGAGGAAAGACGTAACCTGCCAATTCCTAAAACGTGCCTAGCAGAGTCTAACAACCTGGATTATGCTCCAGGTGATGTGCAGACTGCAGAGACAGCTGGGAAAGCCAAGCTGCCACTCTCTGAGACAGCTGTTGAATGTTCTACATCACAGCTCAGAATTCCCCACTCAAGGGCCATACACTAATTAGTATTTTGCCCTGCCCAGAGGGCTATTTTCCCAGGGCATCTGCCAGCCACAACCTGGAAGTTGCAGGATCAACAGACTGTTTGTTTTGCTCCAGCTCAGAGGCTGCCAGACTACAGACTGTTTATTTTGCCCCACCCAGGGTCCATATCAGGGGCGGCCCTAGACTAGCTGCCAGCAACTGGTGCCCTAGGCAAACCATGCAATCGGTGCCCCCATCTCCAAACCCCTCAACGATATTGCACCACCATTTAGCACCCCATTTAACTTGGCGCCCTAAGCAACCGCCTAGTTCGCCTATATGGACAGGCTACCCCTGCATAAACTAATTCATATTTTGACCTATCCAGAGTGCTAATTTCCCCAGTTCAATTGCTTGGCCCTGCTTTGCAGGATCACAAAGCTATTTGCTTGCTTTATCCCAACCTGGGACCTATTGCAACTTTTTTAGTTTGTAAGGGGCCATAGGTTTCACCCTGCTTGGAAGGCCTGTTCTCTCAATGCCACTGCCAATCCCAACTGAGAGCCGAAGGCTATAGCCCGTTTATTTGCCTTGCCCTGCCCAGCAATTTCAGATGGCTTACTGTTGTGCCCTGCTCAGAGGACTAAAGACACAGACTGTTTGATTGTTCTGCTGCCCCAGCCAGGAGACTGCGAGGCCCAGACTGCTTGGCCCACAGACTGAGACTGGTTCCATACTGGACATATGGGGACTCATTACAGGCCCCATACTGGAGACCTTCAGAAGCCTTACTGAAAACAGACAGGCAAAGACTGAATGAGTGTTGTGCGTTCCTGAGGTTATGTCACAAACATCTGTCTTCTCACTGAATACACTATCCCCATTGCTGCACACTGAAAATATAGGCTGTATGCAAGTCAGAAACAGTCAATAAAATTACACTTTGCAAGTTACCTCTACTCTGTATTTGCTTAAAACAGGCCGGATGTTGGCTGGAACTGGGTAGATTTGGCTGACATCAGGTGGATCCACTGGTGGAAGGCTCTCTGGACCAGAATCAGGAATCTGCAAATTGAAATAGTCATAATTCTTTATCACTGATCTGTGAAATATAGCTTCCAGTCCTCCTGGAAGTTGTCCATCGCATACAGCGCTTTCCGGCAACTAGGGCTGTCATGCAGACACAATATACACTCGGCATTGTGAGAAAGACATGCCTTGGAATCTTCTCTGGGCTGACATCAGGCCAAAGCACTTCATGGAAACAGGTCATTTTAAATTCACTAGTCTGCATGTAGGTATCTGACAGACTACCACCTTGTGTTGTATAGATACAGGAAAACTCTACAAAAATATAGTAATCCTGCCTAATAAAAATCTCTACTTACAGGCTCTCAAGACTACAGCAAAACTGTAGTTCCAATTCTCATTTTAAAATGTCACCTGAATTAAAGGCCACATACTTAGAAAGCAATCCAGATATTAGTGCTTTACAGCCAGCCAATATTTTGAAACATGAATCGAAAAATATCCGATTAAAGGCCACATACTTAGCAAGCAATCCAGATATTAGTACTTTACAGCCAGCCAAAATTTTGAAACATGAATCGAAAAATATCCAGTAGACCATATTTGATCTCTCTCTGAAAGTGATCAGGGCTCTGCTTGTTCTGCTAGGCTTTGTTTCAACAGGCCACCACCCATTTTGGAAGACCTGTCAAACTAGAGATGTGTCATCTATGTTTGGGAATGCTCATCTCCGGTCCCAAATGTCAAGGCTGGGCCCTCTCCGTATACAGCACCTTAGCAAAATGCTTCAAGCAAATGGCCTTTGTATTGTGCATCAGTGCATGTGCATCTATATTCAGTCTAGGAATAGAAAAGAGGCTGGTACTCAAATTTGCATCAGAGTCCTCACTGGAGACAGGGAAATGGAGAGTGAGAATATTTAGTAATTATTCTGACTCTTGAATACCAACTAAATATCGATGTAAACACCTCCACAACCATGCTCTGGCTCTCTTGTCTTCTTGAGCTGCCTTCCAAAGGGAAGCTCCCTCCTTTATTCCCTTTCCCTCCCTAATTTTCAGGGGCCAGTTGGTGCACATGCACTTTCCCATAATCTCTCTAAGGTGAATCTATGCCCCTGCCTGGTTTGGGATACCTTTCCTTCCTTATTAGTGCTGGCTGAGCCAAGGGGATACTGATCTCTTCTACCAGAAACTCAATTTCTAACCCTGACAAAATGGTGAATTTCTGTTTCACATACTGCCTCCTTTTGCTTAGGAAACTGTTTGGCTTCGTTATGAAACACAATACATAAAGAGGCGGCAATGGGACAAGATTAGAGAGGATGAATGTGAAATATCTGCTAGTTAACGAAGGGCAAAAGAAATTAGATCAAATAGATGTGTCATGGCATGATAATGACCACACACAACTGAAAGGGGAAGGATTTAGAGTGCTTTATAATTATTGTCACTGAAACATAAAGGCTATGAGAGAGTCATAAGGGGATTTGTAAAGTTCATATCTTTTGTTTCTCTTAAATAGAAACCATGTCTCTCCTATGTGCTCATATGTGCTATGTGGAAAGTTCATTTAGTATGTGGAAAAGGAGATATTTTTCTTTTTACCTTGTAGGGGCAACAAACAGAAGAGGGTAAAACATCTCAGAGTGACAGTATTACACAGCACAGTGACTATGATAATAATACACTAAAGCAATAATTCACATTTATATACAAAAGTGCCTCTCCTCCATGACAATCCCAAAGCACTTTATACACTGAAAAGTGGGATGGTTTCACCAGCCCTTCCCTAACAAACAAAAGGGAAAACACAGCAGCTGTTTAATTACAGATATGCAGCTGAATCTCCTTTCTATTGCATCATAAAGCTCCCTCAACTTCTGTGGAATTGCACTGTTAAAACAAGAGTTTTTGCTGCAGTGCTATTGTGCCACAGTTTAAGATAAGAAGTAAAGAATTACACCATATTCAGCTGAATTTGCACAGGGGATTTTCAGTGACAGGAGAAATGAAATTACTGGAGGATTAAAAACTTTGGGAGCTAACAATGTAAATATTCAAAAACTCATCGTTTGGTATAAGCTTCTTGTAAACATTTTGTTAAAAAGCTGGCCCCTTTTTTCTTTAAAAAAGAGCTTTTTACCTAGTAACAATAATTCTATTTTCAGTCGGTATTGGGCCCATTCAAAATAAAAGGGGACTATGAGACTCTAAAGCTGAAATTTAAAAATTACCATTGGAATTTTCACATTTCTGATGTATACATTTAGTTTGAAATTTCAGGGAGGTCATTTCCAGATCATGTCAGTAATTATACAGATGGGAACAATTCCAAGATGTCTAGGCCAGCATTCCTGGCTCTCAAGAAAGGAGTCCTGTGATCTTAAATGACTGCAAATGATCAAGACTAGTACATGAGGTAATATATTTTATTGGACCACATTGTATTGGTGAAAGACAAGCTTTAAAGCCACACAGAACTCTTCTTCAGGTCTCGGAAAGGTAAATCACAGCTAAATGCAAAGTGGAACAGATTATTTAGCAATAAGAAGTTATCACATGAAGAGATCATTCAAGGTAGAGTGGCCCATTAACACCTCTGCAGTCATAGGACACTAAGGCTTTTTTTAATGCATCTTTTAGCAATATGGCCATGTCGATACAACCATGTAGCTAAAAGTCTGCAATATGGCCACTGTTTGTCAGTTCTTTTGCCAACAAAATGCTTCCACCCACAATGAGCAGTGCTCACATTGCTCACACTGTTGGCAAGAGAGTGCTCCTGCCGGCAATGCACTGTTCACACCGGCACCTGTTGTGAACAATCTGGTGTCTTTCAGCAGGGGGTTAACACTTCTGAAAAAGTTTTGTCATCAATCAACAGTGCAGACATAGTCAAAGAGAGGTTAGTGGGATACAGATTGTTGTCATAAACCACAAATCCAGTGCCTCTGTTCTGTCCATGATTATTAGTGTCTACAAGAGTCATGAATGTAAGCTTCCTGGCCCATTTTTTGAGTGTGTTGGGCATGTTTCCTTTGAGGATGAGGATTGATAGACTAGATATAGAGTGACTGCCGTGTAAAAGTGTTCACCCACAGATGAGAACGATCTTTTGTTTTTAATCATTTTCCTCTGTGAAGATATTTGAGGGCATAGAGATTGTCTGGTTTCACCCACATAATTGATAACTGGGGCATTTAGTGCCCTGGATGAGATATACGGTCCACATGCTGAGACAGGCATGTGTAGGATCCATGGATCTTGAAATCTGTCTTGTGGGAGGTGTTGATTATTGTAACAGTGGCAATATACGCACTGCATAAGATAGCAAGTGTCCATTTTTAGCCATTGTTTCTCTGATCTATTTCTTTAAGTGTCTGCAGTGCTGTTATATGGCAGTGTTTCTCAACCAGTGGTATGACTACCCTTAGGGGTACTTGAGAGAAGTCTGGAGGGTACATCAACACAACTGAAGTTTGGAGAAAACTTAATTATTATTTTAAATTTTACAGCACTTTATTATTTTTGTACTTTTTACACCCAAAAATGTCATCGTCCACCCGGCTACTATTAAATTGTTTAAACAAATATGTTGCAATGGTAGAAAAAAAATTGTGTGTCTGAAAACTGTAGGTTCTGGGGGTACTTATATACATTTTTTTTTTTGAAAAAGGGGTATTTTATTAAAAAGGTTGAGCAACACCGTTATATTTCAATCAACTTTAACTCTTTTGCACTGACCTGGAACGTCAGCAGTAATTTCAAAAAGGGAGCTTCTCTCATGTACATTTGTTACTCTAATTGTAAACTGCCTGAAATAAACAATAATTTGTACCTTGGAACAATCTCATGTGGCATGTCAGTGAAAGGGTTATTATCTCACAGGTACAGAGTGAATGAGTGATTGTAGATTTTCTGCCTACTGGGCATCATCAGGAACCCTTTGATATTGAAAAGAAACTGCCAGCACAGTTGGCCTCTGAGAAGACTTTGAAGCCTCTCATATATTTTAACACATCTTTTCTTGAATGATTCTTTAAGATCCATGCTCCTGAGCATTATCTGTGGTAAAAATAAGCATTATTTTGGGTATAATCACCAAGATAAACTATGATGAGTAGGAGAATGCTCAATGCCAGTGCTGGGTCATTTTTATGTTTACTTTTGGCACTTTATTCAGGCCTTAGATATTTTCAGATCAGTCTAGCATGTTGTGCTGTTCCCCTTGTCCAGATAAAAGTAACATAAAACTGAATGTTAGTTCTCTTCACTAGAAACATGGATTAGATGAAATATTGAAGAAAAAGCCCCATTGATTATGGTGCTAGATTCTGTCGTTAATTAAACCTTCTTCCCCCAATAAACTGGCAAGTTTACCTCATTGGAGTTATTTAGGTTTAATTGGGGAAACAATTAGCTTTAACGTGCAATTTTACTCTGCCAAGTGTCTTCACAAATTACATCATGGGTGTCTGTAATTGATTCCAGAACAAATCTGTCAGTTTACAAGTAAAAAGACATTTCTTCTACCTATCAGTCCAGCAAAGTTTGCTTGGGGTCTGGAAATCAAATTGTCTTAAATCTTGTTTGTGCATTTGCAAAGACATGCCCAGAATTCAGCTCTGCAGCTAGAAACTGATTAACAAATCTATTTCTGAGCTACAGCTAGAACAGAACCCAGTTAGCTCTCCCTTAAACACATTGCCTCCATAGTGATAATACGAGCAAGCAGTAGAGGGTGAACCTCTCTAATCTGGCACCTTGGGGACCTGGTCAAGAGAACTTGCCAAACCACGGGAGGTCAACATTGTTTAGCAGCATTACCAACACTTCCACTGCTTACTGGACTCGTAGAAGACATTTAGGGGTAAATTAGAACTAACTAATAGCACAGAACAGAAAGCCAGGGCTGGTGGCTGCAAATTAACATTTTAGGACCACAGGAAACGTGGCCACCCCCATCATAAGTGGACATCTGGCTACCTAAAATCATGACGGACCACGGATGTTGCTGTACTGGACAGGTTCAACCTGTAGTAACAAATTATTAGTGTTGTTATAAACATAGGACTCTGAAAAGACATGGGGAGCAGTAAGAAGATGCCATTTTTACACAGAACAAAGCCGCTTGCGGCCAATAGAATCAGAGCAGGGTAAAACCAGTGTAAATGTGAGGCTAGAGGACCCAGACGGCTGGCAGCTGTGAGATCAGGGGCATTGTTTATTGCTCCAACTGTGGGATGAGTAGGAATAACACCTGCATCTTGTTCTAGGCATATGAGATATAATGGAAAAAGGGTTCAATTCTCGTCTCTCCTGGATGCACTGAGTTTAACAAGTGATGCACCTGCCTGAATGAAGGCAGGACTAGGACCACGGTGTCTCATTGTACCCCAAATGCTCTGGCATGCCCCAAAGGTGAATGTAAAGAGTCAAATGATTCTAGCTCACCTGCAGCAGCTCAAATGCAGCAAGAAGATCTCCCCCAGACAGATTTCCACAGTGCACTGGGTGATAAGACAGTTTAGGTGGCTCATATTTCTGATCGGCAAGTCTCACCACAGGAGCAGCCACTGTTGAGCCAATATAGTCTGATTTACCCTAGATAAATAAGGATACATGCTTCAGTCTTTTTTGGAAGTGGTCTACACATAACAGCAGCCACAGGAACCTAGCTCCTCCCACCCTAGAGCCAAATGTAGGAAATGATCTTTTAATAGTTATGACAAAACTGCCCAGTGAGAGACACAGCAAAATACAATGGAGGACAACAACTGAAATGAAGTAGGGTGAATTTCTTTAAACTCGTCTGATGTTTACCAATGCCTGAGTTTCACATTTCAGCAATTCTGAAGGCAATGTCCTAACAAGCAGTGAGATGGTCCCAGATTTCTGTGGGCTGGAGTTAAATTTGGACTGCTGAATATACAGAAATATAATCATTACAACTGTGTACAAGTAAAAAGATATTCTAACACTAAATCCCATTACCATATGAGTTTCCATTTAAATGTCAGGACATGGATTTACATGGCCAGATAAGCTATTTTAAAATGTCTCTTAAATGACACAGCTTTGATTTTTGCACAGATAATACATTATATCCCCCAAACTCTGATTTTTTAAAGAAGAAGCTTTTCATCTTTACCACTGCATCGTCATCGTAGAGCTCTATGACTATCACTGGTGGGAATTCAGCAATTTCCTTTCCGTCGCCATGGAGCTCAATGTTATTGAACAGCAGCATCTGATTCCATGTAGGGGATAATGTCTGAGAAATGATCTAGTGAAAAACAAGCATCATTTTAAGAAGGCTGTTAAAAGACTGATTGGGGTGCGCCAGCAGAAAGTGGATGCACTGTGATGAAATCTTTTCCAATAGCCTAAACTAAACTTTTAACAAGAAGGTACAATACAGAGTCAGCTGTTCAGTGTGCACCATTTAAGGTCCATTTTAAGTGCCTACTGCAAGCCTCATTTAATGCCCGGTCCAGTGAAGCATTTAAGCACGTGTGTACTATTGCTCCCATTCACTTCAATGAGGTTACTCATGTACCTAAAGTTATGTCACTTTATACCTTAAATAGTTTGCTAGACTGGAGTTTTAAATCCCTAACATGGCTCTTCATAAGTGCACTGAAAAACTTTCCCACGCAGATGAATACCACCCATGTGCATTCTGAGCTATACAAGATCCTCCCTCTTCCCCTCCATACCCAATGCTCTTCCTTCACTCAGAACAAGATATATGACTTTATATTTTGAATCCTTGTGCATGCAAAACTCATAATGCAGTCTAAGGCTATGTCTAGACTGCAAGCCTCTTTCGAAAGAGGCTCTTTAGAAAGATACTTTCGAAAGAGCCTCTTTCGAAAGAGAGCGTCTAGACTGCACGCGGAACTTTCGAAAGAGCAAGCTGCTTTTTCGAAAGAAAGCACCCAGTGAGTCTGGATGCTCTCTTTCGAAGAAGCCCTATTTACATTCAAGAACGCCTTCTTTCGAAAGAAGCACTTTCGAAAGAAGGCGTTCTTCCTCGTGAAATGAGGTTTACCGCCGTCGAAAGAAAAGCCGCGTTCTTTCGATTTAATTTCGAAAGAACGCGGCTGCAGTCTAGACGCAGGTGAAGTTTTTTCGGAAAAAGGCTACTTTTCCCGAAAAAAACCCTGAGTCTGGACACAGCCTAAGGGAGGGATGCCTGTTTAGTGACTGCAGGATCAGTCCCTGTATAGTTAGAGAGGGACAGTGCAAAATGTATTCCATTTTTTCTTACTGTGGAGTAAACATTCTCCGAGCCATTTTTCTTCATATATAAATGGCATAAATAACTCAAAATGTTCTTATTGAACAAGGTGATTAATTCATAGCAAATCCGTAGTTTTTATTTTTTTTCCTTTCAATTTGCTGCTGCACTTCAGACATGGTGGGCTATTCAAGGCACTTCCTCAAAGACAACAGATTAGCTGCTTTGGCAGGGAAAGAATCTACCCACGGTATATTTTAAAGAAAAAATATCAGCTGCAAAATCTGACTCTCATAAACTGTTGCTGTTCTGTTAAATGAAAATGGCTTCTTTCATCATGGTTTATTGGAGCTTGGCAAACATAATTCTAAAAACAATTAAAATGATCACCTGTAGACATTATGTTATTTTGCACGTATGAGGGTACAAACCGATGTGGGTCTGATTCTACTCTCAGGTATGCTAGCTTATACCAGGATCAACTCCACTGACATCCAGGCCACATCTACACTAGGAAACTATTTCGAAATTGCTAAATTCAACTTCCAATTTAATACATTCGAACTAGCAGGTCCACAAAACGGAGAAGCCTCAAAATTAGTCCAAGACAGGCTCTGTTAATGTGGATGCACTACCTCGACTTAGAACCCCAGGAAGCACAGAGGAGTAATTAGTTTGCATTCTTCTATGGATTATTTTGAAATTGTAGCACCAGAGCATCCACGCTACCATTATTTTGAAATAACTATTTCAGAATTAGTGCTACTCCTCATAAAAAGCAGGAGTACAGAGTTCAAATTCCACGGCCCATGATTTCAAAATAATGGGCTTGGTAGTGTGGACGTTCCGCTTATAAATTCTACCTTGTAGAGGTTATTTTGTAATAAGATCCTAGTGTAGACCAGGGCCCAGAGAGCTACAATGGGGAAAACAAAGGTTAACTCAAATGACTGTAACCATAAGGGCAAAGCAGAAAAAACTGAGAATAGAACCAGGCCTTATGATTCTAGAGACCCACCCGGATAAGAGAAACCTTTTTCTCCTTCTGCCTTCCCCAGTGCTGCTGCTATAGAAATTTCCTTCCAAGAGCCAGGAGATAAACATTTTTCTTAAGGCTCAGTTACACTGTGAAAAGTGACTAAAAATAGTTTGAATTGCATTCTACATGTTTTGATTTGTGTCAAATATGCTTTGTTTACAAGAGAAATGGTGGGTTTCCAAACTTTAACCTTTGCAAACTTAAGGCAGGCTCTGAGAATCAAGCTGGGTTCTTTCCATTGAACTGGATGAGTGAAAGTGAAATCCAGTTCTCCCACCCAAACCCTGGCCAGGTTGCAGGGTTGCCATGCAATCCCTCCCACCTCCCTCATGGGTAATAAATCAGCCATCGCTTGCACTGGATGCACAGTGTACTGAAACCACAGGATCTGGGTAGAAGCCCCTCTTTTGTCCCCAGGGAACTCCTGGACTATTCCAAAATGGGCCTTTCATGCCAATCTATGTGGGGCTAGTTCGGAGACCATTTCTCCAGTGCAGAGGCATCCCTACGAGGCCTCCCCATGAGCATGTCTTTTGCAGGATTTAAGTAGTGCAGACAGCCTTTGCACCTGGTGTAGGCTTCACTTAGTAATGCCTCTCTGCAATCATCCTCATGCTCTGTTAAACTCCATTTGTGAGGGCCAAACTGACTCAGGTGAACACAGGTGACTAAGCATTGGTTATTAATCACAAAAAATAGTGGAGGTGATTCAGAATGCAACATTTGTCCCTCTGGTAGTGGGAATAGCCCAATCTTAAAATGTAAAGAGGAACATCTTTACTGCACGGAAGACTGACACTGCTGAGGTGTCACACCAGAAGCTAAAATAGCAGTGGTATCTCTAATGATGGGCATATATCCTCAAAACAGATGGATTTGCTAGGACTTCTGTTTTCAACAATGCTCAGTATTCAGATGGCTGGATCGTAGTGCTACAGTGCAATATGAATGGCCCTCAAATAAGTAAGCACTCATCAAAATGAAACACTCATCCTTTACGTTTCTGGAACCCCTTCTGTCTAAGGATCTCAAAGTGCTTTACAAACTGTGATGAATTAAGCCTCATAACGTCAGTATGGTAGCGAAGTAGTTTTTCATTTGGCATTATTCTAAATAAACAGAAACTGAAACTGAAACATCTAATACTGGCTGTTGACAGTGACAGATGATTGCACTAGATGCATCATTGGTCTGATCTGGTAAGGTAATTCCTAATTGCCCTTGAAGAATCAATGTTTTCTTTTCTCATTTCCCCCCACTAACGAGATTTCTCAGCTCCTTGTTTACCCAAGGAGAATGAAGATTTTGCAACTTACCTTGGTAGTCTGACAATGTGAAATGAATGTTACTTTGGCGAAAGGATCAGAAAGTCCAGAGCTGTCTGCTGCAATGAGCCCCCTTGCCTGATACATGTGGGCTCTTAACTGGAAGCGATGACAGGCTGTGTAATGACAATGAATAGAGTTTTATCAGTGGGGGAAGAGATACCATAAGAATATGGGAAGAGGATGATCAAAAAATGTTTACCACCCCCAAATTCCAAAATCTGCTGCCTCACAGAACTTACTGCGGAGTGTGCTCATCATTTTACAGTGAGGGTATTTGAGGGATGGAGAGTTTACATGATAGCCCCAAATGCACCTAGAGTCAGTGTCAGAGCCAGAGTCAAAACTCAGCTCTGCTAATTTCCCACCTTTTCTCTAACCACTTGACCATACTATCTCCCTAGGTATATTTATCATTTACTGTGTGTTCTAGCATGTACAGGCAGTCCCCGGGTTACGTACAAGATAGGGACTGTAGGTTTGTTCTTAAGTTGAATTTGTATGTAAGTCGGAACTGGTACATATTGTAGGGGAAACTCTAGCCAAACATTTCTCCAGAGCTCAGTTTTATTCTCCCACACCTCACTTCCCTCAGGGTATTATTCTCAAACTGAGGTGTCTGCTGAGAAAAGCTGCTCCGCATCTCCCTGGTCTGCTGGGGG